CCTCTCTACAAGGCCATTAGCCATGGGATGATATGTGGTTGTTGGCAATTGTTTGAAGGAGAGAAGTCGGCTTAGCTCCTTCATTAGGCGTGACGAGAATGACGTGCCTCTGTCACTGATTATCTCCCGTGGGACACCTACACGAGAAAACATCTCCAGAAGTGCCTCAGCGACTTTCTCCGTCTCAATGCTCGGCAGTGCTACAGCATCGGGATAACGCGTTGCCATGTCCACCATTGTCAGTACGTACTTGTTTCCGCCCTCTGACATCGGTGATAATGGACCCACAATATCAATGGCTACTCTCTTGAAAGGGGTGTCAATTATAGGAGTGTTGCCGAGAGGTACACGACCCACCAAATGCTTGGGAATAGTTCTTTGACATATATCACACGATTTAACAAATCGTGTGATGTCTGACTGAACCCCTGGCCAGTAGAACTCTTCGAGTACCCGGTCGGTAGTTCGTTTAATTCCCTGATGGCCCGAAAGGATGCCTTCGTGGGCCATTTTCATAACAAATTGTCTGAGGCACCTTGGTACCACAAGCTGATTCACCTGCCTCTTAGAGTGAAGGGTGTACTTGCGATAGAGGATACCATTCTTCGTGAAGAACAATATTTTAGCAAACCTGGTCTTGACCTCTTTGTTGACGGCTTCGAAGCATTTCCGCAAGCTTCTGTCTTCCTCCTGTTTGGTTTTAAAGTCCTGTGGGCTGATGTCTAAGGGGTTTATAACTGGAGCCGGAAGTAGATGTGGATTTCCTGCCTTTCGGTTTACTGCAGCAACTTTTGTCTTGCAACGTGTTTTCCTTGCAGCCGACGTTGAAGTCTTTGCATACAAGGGTCCGTGTGCAGAACCAAATTTTTTTGCGCCAGAGTACTCTTCTGCAGTGTTCTGGGTGTAAAGACGGCTCTTCCAATCGTTATCAGGCTTGTGAGCATCTCGAACGCCTTCCACATTTCCCAAGACAACATCATATAAAGGAGTATCCATACAAAGGGCTCGAGTTTTGCCAGTGAAGAACGGTGAAAAAATTTCCACGTGTGCTTCAGGCAGCTTCATCAACCGTCCGTCCAGGAGGTAAATCGAGGAAATCTTTCCAGTCAGCTTGCTATCCGCCACAAGAGACCTTTTGACAATGATTGAATCGCATCCGGTATCTCGCAGTACTGTTGCGGGATATCCTTCGAGTACACCTTCGCCCGTGGGCATCGATTTTTCCTTCAGCTTGGCTGGGCGCGTTTCTGCGCACTCCGGTTTATAAGGAACACAAAGGGAAGCCTGCGACTCTGAATTAATTATCTTGGCTCCATCTCTTTGTTGAAAAGAGCATGAGGCCTTCTCAACGCTGTTGGCCCTTTTGGAGCAGTCAGCTGTTTTATGCCCAGTGCGGCGGCCTTTTCCACAAAAGGGTGGCTTTGTACCTGGGCCCTTTGTGTTGGTCCAGCAATCAGCTGCTCTGTGACCCTTTTTGTTGCAAAGGAAACACTGCGGTCTCTCTTTGTCATCTTGCCGCTCAGACGTTCGAGTTTGACCTGGAGGCTTGCTCAGGATATCGCCTTTACATTTGCCAAGGTTAATCAACCCCTCGGCCTCCAAGTAGTGGTCTGTAGCCTCCGCAAGTTTTTGAAGGCTTTCACAGTTTCTTTCCTTAAGAAACACAGCGAGTTTCTCATGGCATTGCGCGAGAAACTGCTCCGAGACAATTTTGTCTCGCAGAGCATCGTAGGTCCGGTCTGTCTTGGCCATTTCTTGCCAATGGTCAAAATAACCTAATAGACGCCCGGCAAACTGCGTGCCCGTTTCAGAATTATCTGGTTTGGCTGATCGAAACTTTGTCCGATAGCCTTCTTCTGTGAACCTAAAGCGTTGTAGTAGCGTTTTCTTCAACGTTACGTAGTCCATGGCATGTTCTGGTGCCATCCTACCAACTACACTCAAGGCCTCTCCGGTCAAGCAAAGGCTTAGTGATAGGGCCCATTTGTCTTGCGGCCAGTCTTGACTAGTAGCGACGCGCTCAAATCGCTGTATATATGCGTCCAGCTCATCGCGTTCCTCGTTAAAGGCTGGGATGAGTTTATGTGGACTTCGGTAGCTCTGCGTGGTGCCTACGGGCGCACCCTCGGTAAGCTGCCCAGTAGTTGTGCTACCTGCTGTCGCACCTAACTGATGAAACCTTAACTTGAGCTCAAAAACTTCTTTCTCTGCTTGTAATCTAGCGACTGCCTCTGCCTCGGCTTCTTTCGCGGCATTTCGTTCAGCCAGACGAGCGTCACGTGCCTCTTTTTCGCGTGCGCGTTCTTGGTCCATCCATTCTTTTAGTGCTGATCCACTTAACCCCAATTCCTTTCCGATCGCCATCAGCTTATCTGCCTCCATCATCGACCGTCACACACGCATATGCGATGTGATACTCTCCTTAGATGTAACAAGAGTAGTCCTGTCGCGGACGCCAGATATGTCGTGTGTTAGGTTCGTCACATAGCAAGGCGTGTGACGCGAGGGAGATGGAGACAGTGAGGAAAACAAAAGGGAGTTATATTGGACGAAGAACAAAAACTATTGCACATACAGTACTATAAGTTATACACACGCGTGGTTCACACACAAAAGAAAAGAGTAACCAGTCTCACAGTCTGTGCCGTAGGCCGGTGCCTCGAAGTGGGACCCGTTGCGTGCTCGGATGCAGTCGTCGCTTGGGTGCCAGGTCAGCATACCACTGTAGAGGGCATCACCAGGTCTAGGCGTAGCCGCACACTGTCAGCGACGTCGGCTCGGTAGACGTGGTCAGCAGCTCCGGTCTTTCGAGGGCGCTCGCCGTACCGGAGATGTCCACAGGACCACTCACCGAGAACTCGTGCTGGCCACGCCGACACGCCGTGCCCCGAGGACGTCAATGGCTCGAGGACAGGAACCCGGCCTTTCGAACCTCGCGCGTAGTTGCGGGTTCGCCCTAGGCTCCCTTGCGTCGTTTTGCCGGCGTCCGAACGGCTTCGTTCTCCGCGAGCGTCTCCTCTTCTTTTTTTAATGGGCGCGCTGCAATGCCCCTTCATTCTTCTCATCTTCTAAATGATGTGGTGCTGTCGTCTGCTAGGCTCGCATTTTTAAGGTACTACATCACAGTATGTATGTATGTATGTATGTATGTATGTATGTATGTATGTATGTATGTATGTATGTATGTATGTATGTATGTATGTATGTATGTATGTATGTATGTATGTATGTATGTATGTATGTATGTATGTATGTATGTATGGCCGTCTGCATTTGTCGACCACTCACCAGTACGAAAGAGCCAGCGATATTAGTAAAATACAAATGTTCGTATTTCCTATGATCCTAAAACAACAAAAAGTGCGTAAAAACAATCATGCACTCCTGGTGCGGCGGATTCCGCTGCAATATTTCGTTGGAGCACTACAGGAACGCACCACAAGGATATTTTTTTAATTGGCTGCATATCAGCGTGATTTGCTGAATATGTCCACGAAAGACAATAGCGTACGTCTGGAGGCACTGCGTGGGATATGGACGCCATCTGGCAGTAATGTCGGGAAACAGGAGCTTGTGCGAAACCCAGGGCCGCTGGCAGGTGGCAGCACCATATTGTCCCTGCACCATATATATATATATATATATATATATATATATATATTCTTCCTTTGTATCTGGCTATCAGTGCAGCGCCTGCTCGCGCGCGACGCTTACGTCACAGTTTTGCGTGGTCACGTGACCAGCTGTGTTTACCACTGCCGAAATTGCAGAAAAAAAAAGTGCGACATTTTTGTGTCAGTGCTCCTTTAAGTTGCTACCGAGGGCGCTACAAGCCGTACTCACGAACTGGGACGAGCGAAGAAGACAGCGGCAATACTGAAAATGTTTAACTCGTGTAATCAGTTCGCCGATTCCACCGAGTGGGTATGAGCCATAGTTAGGGCATCATTATCATCGTCCTCAAGCGCTCACGAGATTCCGCGTGGCACGTTCTGCATTTCCCAATCACGAGGAGAGAAGCGTCCATTAGACCAGGGGCACTGAATAAATAAAATTTAACGGCCGTATCAAAAAAAATTTAGCGGCCGTGGCTGGGCAAACCACCCACATTCCATCCGAACCGCCACAGCTCCTTCGATAGCGAGCCAGTCCACGTAGGCGACCAAATATTCTCTGCCTCTGCCTCGGCTGAACACAAACAGATCAGTAACCGCCCCTTTCCCGCTCCTCCAAGAAAGAGCTCCTCGCTTTCGCGAAGTCCTTCTGTGACCCGCTGTTTGGAAACCATCGGAGCCAAGCGATGAGCAGCACCGCGCTTCACAGGCCGGCCGCGGGGCCCCGGCGGAGTCATTCGGCAACCAGGACCCAACTGCAGCACCCAACCCGGGAGACGTCTGGAAATCCGGCCATAACGGCACTCAACAAGCTCGGCCTCGCCTTGTTCCGGAGGGTACGCTACTCTTTTTCACGTTCGATTCGTGGTGTCATGAAAGGCTACAGCGCACGTTGTCCAAGGACGAAGGTAAAGCACGCGAGACATGGCACTGATGAGGGCTGGTGTGTTCTACCTTCGTCCCGCACTGCAGTCTTTCACGACGCAACAACAACTAGTCCATTAAGACATCCTTGTGATTTATGGCGTTTTCTAGCTGGTCATTCGGTTAATAAGGTGGTAATGGGGGCTGGTTGGTACGTCTTCATGCTTGTGATCAGCTGCAGGGTAAGGAATGAAAAAAAAAAACAGAGACGACACAGAATGATGCGCAAACAGAGTGATGCGCGAAAAATGACGACATTGTTTCCCTCGCATCCGGGGAGAAAAATAAGCGAGCGAGCGTCGGTAAGCCTCCTCGAAGGGCCTAAATTGACGGTTGATAACGGCGAAGGAAACAGTGCCATCACTGAAAATGTTGTCGAAGTGAACGGTAGTTCACTCCGACAACCGATACATGGTGTTTGATGGCCTTTCCTTGTCCCTCCACGCATGCACGGCGGCGCAGGAGGCGGGACGCGTGGAACACAACGTGCTCCTGTGCCCGGCCGCGGTGACGGCGTCCCTGATGGCGGCGCAGGCGTCCGCCCAGGGCGACACGCACCGTCAGCTTTTCAACCTGCTGGTCCAGGAAGGCGGCGAGCTCGACCACCTGGAGGAGGCCGTGACGGCCGCCCTCAAGGCGCTGGAGAAGGACAAGGCCAACGCGGAAGCGGCCCTCGTCTACAGGTACATGTGCATACGTTCTATAGGTTCTTTCGTTTCTTACTTTGCCAGTAAACATTTGAACATTTGAAGATTACTTGCTAATGGTCACGTTTGTTGCGGAAGTTGATAGCGACTAAAAGGCCTTTAAAAAAGAAAATCGTGGAGGGGCAAGTTCAGGTGAAATGAGTGCATGCCTCTAGCACATCGTTATAAAAAAAACACAGTAGTTAACAGGTCATAGTTCAACTGCTCTTGCTCTGGAGAAAAGTTCTAAATTAGCTGGAAAACAAACCGTCGTTGCTCCAATTTAACATATAATACCCCTATCCCAATTATGGTGTTAGTGTCCATGTGCACCCATACATTAAAAGTCCCACTCGTTTACGTAATATGACTTGCTGCACATGACACTATATCAAGAGAAACCTATAGAGAGTCGCGCGTAGTTGCCGTGCTGACCACCATGATCAGCCTGACTACCTTAGACCGGCAGCACCCGTTGTAGGGTGAAGGCCTCTATAATGCTCCCATGCTTAACCGGGTCCTGAGCTTAATACAGCAACCTGATCCCTGACAATTTATTACGCCCACCTAACTTTCTGCCTCCCACTGTCACGGTTGCCCTCCCTCGGAATCCAGCCTGTTACCTCTCAATGAAGTGCTTCGTACACAATGTATTTTTAAGGTTGGCATCTGAAAGGCGCCCTTTCCAATATCTCGCACATACGAATCATTCTCTGAAGAGATTTGACCTCACAATTTCAACATATCTGTAACAATCTGCAGAATGACTTGAACCTGGATGTCGATTCAGTATCGTGCAGTTATTGTTCCTCGGTTACGTAACGCATGGTGACTGCACAACGTCTCACACACAAAAAAATGCTTGAGATAAGTAATGTGTGTGCAGTTCATACACATACGTATATGTGCTAAAAATGAGGAAACAATAAGACAGTTATGTGTGTCCGGGTCTCTGGCGAAACGCCAATAGCCACGTGTTTCAGGTATGGTAGGCTTTCTGTTCCCTTGTTTGAATCACATGGTTCTGGTCTGCGCTTAAGCTACGCTCCCAATGCCCACTGATGTAGTTGGTCGAGTTCATCGGTTCTGGTCGGCGGTTGAACTTGGGTAAGGCACCCTGCTCCCTTGTTCTAGTTGATCGAGTCTCATATGGTTATGATGCACGGTTATGTTACCTCCCAAACTAGTTCGAGTATATTGGTTATGGTCAGGGGCGTAGCCAAAGGTTGAAACACCAGGCCTGTGCCCCCTAACCAAACTTTTTTTGCCATGAGAGAGCGAAAGATGACTACCTCAAGGAGGCACGCCTCCCACCGAAATGATAGAGGTGTCCCCCTCTCTAAAAATATTTTTGTGGCTACGATCCTGCATGATCTGTGGTTGACTTGGCTAAGGTACACTGTTCCATAGATGCTCGGGTCTATCTGTTATGATCTGCAGTGAAGTATCCTCCTCCATCCGAGCTCGTTGCTCTACTCCTATGGCTCTCGTCTCGGCCCAACCTGTCAGACAGCTTGCACACAACGTACAACAAACGCAGGCTGTTCGTGAGCCGCCAAGTCGAGCTGAACAAGGGTTGCGAGGACCTGCTCAAATCTCAGCTGGGCTGCTCCGTGGAGCGCCTGTCGTTCCACACCAGCTCCCAGGAGGACATCGCATTCGCCGTGAACAGGTCCTTCGCCGACGGCAGTCCACTCATAGGAGAGGTGCTGCCCACCGCAGCCGTGGACACCAAGACCAACCTGCTCTTGATCTCGGCCTTCCACTTCAGGGTACGGACGATTTCACACTCTACACGCAGGCGCCGCCTTTTCTGGGGTGCTAAGGGAAAGTTTTCTCATTTTAACAGCGTGCAGTAATCCCACAAACATCATACACCATGAGTGACGAAGAATTTTTTCATGGTCTACAAGGCTTCCATTAGCCACTTTGATTACTGAGCAACTCTCGTAGGCTAAAAAAAAAGCTGAAAAAGAAACTGCATATTGTGACTATGACAGCTCGGTACTTCCGTACTTAACCGCACGGAACTACTGTCGGTGCTACCAACTGATGTTCACACCACCGACCACGACGTGCCTTTCATAAGGTATGCTTGTATACGGTCACTTATGCATCCACCTAAAGCGACTGAAAGGCGAAAGCTATCTGCTTCTTCTCAGGCGATGTATTGATAAGCGTGCTCAGGGTTCCCCGTAACCCTAGTAGGGGAAAGCGAAGGTTCGTCGCAGCACCCCCCGCCTTTCTTAATAAATCAATCTATGTTGCTGATATTGCGCCTCCCCCCCCCTCCTCTTGGGTAACCAGGGGGACGGCGGGGTCGCTGTCCGACTTCTGACGTCAGCCAGGTGCGCGCGACCATAGGTGCAGGCTGGTGTGTATCCGTCTTTGAGGAGAAAGTGTGGCGGAGTTTTGAAGTTGCATTCGGCTACAAAACGTTCTGTTGCGGCTTCACTGCAACGCAAAGGTTACATGATGATCACGGGTGGTAGTCGTCGCAATGGAGACGTGCCACTAGGCATCAGCGTGGGTGCACGCACCCGTCAGACGGTGCTATATAGCTGCCAAACACCTATACACATGGTACAAGCTTTAATAGTTCAGAATACATTCTTGCTGGGCGAGTTGGAGCCTATGTGTGATGAGAATTGTTGCGAATTTGATCAAACGAACACACGAGGGAAAAGACAGAGTAAGCGGAAAGAGCGCGAACGATCGACTGGTTTTGCTCATTCAGTCGCTTAAGCAGGATTCACGTGGAGAAGGAATATTTGCAGTGGAAGACGCACCTCATGATGACCCAGCCATCGTCCACTTGTTCTGCACCTACCTGCGGCTACACTAAGGCACTTCCGATTCCCTTCTCACCCCCACGCCCACGTCTTCAAGGCAGTTCACTTCCCTGGGGACTTTGGGACTGCACTACGGGCCGCAGAAGCCATCCCACTTTTTTCTTATTTCTCTCTCTTCTTTCCATCTTTATTTCTCTCTGCCCTACGAGACGCTGAGACGTGCTCCCACTCAGGGTAGCGGAAATTGAGTTCTTTCCCTTCCTCAACCTATCGTCCTCTTCCTCATGACGCCCACGTTACGAGAACTGCCCACCGTCACGCCATCTGGCCTCCTCCACTCGCGACACGTATCGAAATGCCTCACGCACAAACGTGGTCTCGAAAAGCGCTTCCATCTAGCAATACACTCTGTACTCGGCGCTCTAGCACAAGAAGCGTTCCATAAGCGAGAGAGTTGGGAGTGTCACACGCCAAAGACTATTAATCACGTCCTGTGCGTGTGCCCTCAATACGCGGTCGAAAGAATCTCTGGAGTGCCTCCTCATAATCTAGACTGCCGAACCTTTTCAGAAAAGAAGCTTTTGGGTTCTTGGGAACGCGTAGATCACGCCCAACGCAGCTTAAAGAGCTTGCTCGCATATCTAACCAGGATAGGTTTAGATTCCCGTATGTAGAGCACGTGCTATTATAGCTATCGTAGAGACTTTTGTGAGTGTCCTACATCGAACGGGACGATGTGTGCAGTGACTCATTGTGCTATATCGCAATCACCCCTCATCATGCCCTTCTTTCTCTTTTCCCTCTACCCCCGTGAGGAGTAGCAGGCTATCAACATACTTTTCAGGCATCCTCCTTCTTCTCATTAAACATCTTCTTCTTCGAGAGAGAGAGTAGGCACGCGAATACGTGAAACGGCAGTGTGCATGCCATAGTTCCCCAAAATTAACTAGAAGGGACTCTGGTGCTGCGATCGTTTAGCGAGCATGAGAATTATGGATATATATGACATGAATTTGCCTAGTCTTCGTGTTTGCGGGCGGCGAACGCATTTGTGACTTCGTTTATTGCTGTATTTTGGTTTTGTTTCGAATGGAGGAAGAAACCTTTTTAAACTTTGTGAGCCTATTAGAAATGGTGATCGTAAAAGGTCTAGTGGCGAGTCGTCTGCTGTCGAGAGTATAGTTGCGATGATTGCGTGGTACCAGTTATGCGGTTAGAACGTACTCGCGTGGCCCGTGTCCGACTGTACGAAAGGGGTACACCTGTTCCAGTTGGCTACAACCAAGGTTACAATTACGGTTCAGTTACAACTTCCTGGTTACGACAGAAGAAACTAAAGTTCTACGCACAGAGCCGTCTGACCTAATTCGCAGTAATCCTTTCAGCCAGTTTATACTTAAAAAAAGAGGAAGCAATATTTTTTTGTAATGAAGTTGCTAGACGTATTATAAAATAAAAGTTGGACGTTTTCGTTCAAAGTATGACATATGACTCAGTACCGATGTCAGTGTTTGTAAAAAAAAAATTAGCTGAGACCTTTGAGTTCTCACTGCCAAAACAGCTCGAGAACGCGCATCCGTATGCTAAAACACAGAGCTGTTGACTGGTGGCATTATCGCAGTCATTAACGGTGCACTTACTTGATCTTCACATCGCCCGGGATGAAAGCAAACTTTGCTTGGCTTTAGGCCCGCGGGACGGATCTAAGCTCTCCCATAGTAGAGTACCAAGTTCTATATATCGTTAACAACTTTTTTATAAACACAAATACGGCTTATTGTGTGGAATTACCAAGAACAGCAGCTGGAAACGCACGGCGAAGAGGCTTTCCTTCGACGATGGCACACACGTTTTTTTTTTTCATACTAAGAGAAGGGACAGCTGAATTTTGCAGTTGTTCCGTACTAGCCATGCGACCACTCTAGTACGCATTGTTACGTTTGGCCTGGCAATTTCTCTGGGCAGACGCCATTGTGCGTAAGCCGGTCTGCTAGGGATGCTTTGAGTCCCATCGGCGCCCAGTCTGCAAGACGCTGCCCTGTACATGTTTCAAGTAGCAGTTGGACCTTCAACGAAAGCTTCGCGAGACAAGCCTTTTGTTGAACGGACTCGAACAGCGTGGCACGGCGCCACTGTGGCTGGTCCTCATTAAGACAACCTCTCGACTCAGCTTTTGTCATCAACGCGAGGCCATCGCAACGCACCGACAGTCCAGAAGCGTGGGAACGCGTCGAAGAAGCCGTTTCTCAGGGATCGAGCGTTTGGGCTGCCATGTTCGAGAGAGTTCTGGAAGCCTGTAGCTGAAAGCAGCCATGGACCGATGCTGACGTTCGGGTCAGCCGCCATCTCCCTGGAGGAGCTCAACTTTCCTACTTCGGACTCTACCTCGTCGCCCTGCGGTGCCTTCAAGGCGCGGGCTGGGTGCGTCATTACGTGGTGCGCTTGTTCTACCATTGGACCTTTTCGCCCAGCCGAGTGGTACAATACCTGCAACCTTTCTAATGGGTGGACGACATAGACTTCGTCACCTGATTAGTGGCAAGAGTGGTGACCACCTTCTTCGGACTTCCGTGTAAGGAGGCTGCGGGCTATAAAAGCCGAAGACATTTTGTAAATAAGAGCTGAATCCTGAGCGGAATCAGGTGCTGAATCATGAACTGAATCTCAGTTGTACATAATGCGGGATCATCTGAATCCCTGTACAGTTCCTATCTTTCAACTATCATGTAAATAAACATTAGTTCTTTTTCTCTTAACGCATCCCCTCACTAGCGAAGATCGGCTATGGGGACGACGGAGGGAAGCCAGATACGTTAAAGAAAACCCGCCATACCTATCATCAACCTTCCTACCCTTTATAGCATGCATGCGTGGTTTTCTGTAAAATGCGATCAACTTGATTCATTTTAGTTTTCTTTTTTTAGTAACATTTGGATACCCAGTGACCAATTAGATTTTGGTGCTTATTTGCAAGATGTACACACTGTAAGGGATGGGCCGAGGAAGCTCGCTGATGGCATCCCACCGCTGCCACCAGTTGTTGGGGTTCGGAAGGAACGAAGGTCGCTGGAGGATACGGAAACAAAACAGAGTTTATGGCACCATTTACACATATTTACAGCAAAGAAAGCTTAGGGGTTTCCCAAACCACGAGCGTGGTGGTTGAACGTTACATAGTTCAGAGCGACGTCCAGCACTCTGCGGCGTCGTTTTAAGCCCTGCCGAACTCCTCCTCTCCTAGTGGAACACCAATCACACACACACAACAGGTGAGGGGGCCGAGCATGCACGGTCCACGTGAACAACCAATATTGAGTCGTGAACACTGCACTGCAAGGTGGCGCCAGCAGGGCTCTTACTCGTCGTGTGTGTGCAGCTAGTCGAGAGGTCCCACGTTCCGGACAGCATACATCAAAGGGTCCGCCGATTTTGTTTGCTTAATTAGCGGGGTGATTTGCGGTGGCCGCCGCGGTCTCTTCCAGGAAGATGCTGTCTTTGTTGGCCTCTCTCGAATGGTTAACGGCGTCTTGGCGACACGACGTCTCATCCTCCGGCCATCACGGACAATGCCTGACGAGCCTAGGCAGCCGGCCGGTCGTCTCCTTGATTGGAGATAAAAAGGAGCGCCGCTCTCCTGCCAGCTCTGGCGCCGGTCACAACAGCTTCCCCGTCGTCAGATGAATCACCGAGGTCATCAGGCACCACTGCTGCTTGAAGGTACGACGAAAGGGTCCGCATTTGAAAGACGGGAACTCGCCTTTGCTTGCCGCATTGTCTGGGTAATTACTCAAATCTTCGACAGCGTCTGGCACACTGGGCGCCGAAGGGATTGAGAGACGAATCTCCAGGCCAAACCTAACAACACTGTCTTTACTTGTTTTCCATGTTTCGTTTGTGTATGTGCAAGTTCAGTGTATACAATAAACTTCTCTTTCTTAATGTGAATTTATGTCGTGAGCTCCTTCACGGCGTAAATGTTACCGCCACGGCCTCATCAAGTGTGAGGCCCACGGGACGGCTTTATGCTCTCTAATAGTAGAGTACCTCGTACAATAGAGTTTCCCAAAATTAACTAGAGGAAAATCTGGCACTTCGATTGTTCAGCTACCATGGGAATTATGGGTATGACATGGATTTGCTTATATAAAGTCTTCGTGCTTGCGGGTGGCGAACGCACTTGTGACTTCGTTTGTTGCTGTGTTGCGGTTTTTTTTTCTAAGGGAGAACAAACCGTTTTTTCAATTCATGACCCGATTTGAAACGGTAAGCCTAAAAGATTAAGGCGGCGAAGCATAACTGCCGAACATTCGCCGATTGTTGTTTTCGTGACAAAGCAGCTTCAAGCCACGCGAAGCCAGAAGGAACGTAAAGTACGAAGACTAGGCAGATCCACGTACTACCCATAAATCCCACGCTCGCTGAAGCGCCATGCGTCGCAGCTCGCATAGACACTAGCGCCAGAGTTACATCTAGTAACTAGCACATGTACTAGCACATGTATCTAGCACATGTACCATAGGAAATTCTATGGTACATGTGCCGGCTCCGCGGTCTCGTCGGTTGGAACTGGTCTCGTGACTCTTCGGTTCGCGAAGAAGTGGGATTTTTCCCTCCTGTGTTCGTCGGATGGAATGCGCAACGGTTTCCATTCCGAAAATCTCCCTCATCACTGCACAATAAGCAGTATATACTGCCTCCACAGGGCCTTCTGGAGCCTCCGTTCAGGCGCAACGCAGAGCCGCGGCCATTCAAGACGAGCCTGACCGCCGAGGAGCTGATGGAGTTCCAGAGCTCCGTGGGCAACTTCATGTACGGCGAGATGACGGACCCCGTGTCCACCAAGGTGCTCCAGCTGCCGTACCGCGGGGGCACCGCCTCCCTGCTGCTCCTTCTGCCGGACAAGGTTCGGCAGACCAAGGACCTGCTGGATCACATCACGCAGCCCTTCCTCGCCAGGGCCACCGGCTGTCTCAAGCCCAGGAAAGTGCATGTGGAGATACCGCATGCCAGGATCGAGTCCAGGTACGACAACGTTTGTCTTAACGTGACAGGATTAACCCTTTCGGTACTGCCGGTGTCGACTGACGCCCCCTCCCCCAACTTCCTCAAGCACCTCGGAATTTGGGTGGAATAATACTTCAATGAGCCCACTGCGATCATCGATAATAAAACTGAGGAATGTTTCCGGAGCTGGAAGCCACGATGATGTCCATTGCAAAAAGGAACATGTCATAATGCCCTTGACGTATAAGGGCTATGACAAAGGAAACATAAAAATGTATAGGAGCCATGGCAAAGGGGACATAAATTAGTTCGTACACATTATCAACCAAAGCTACCATTGAAAAGAAAACCTTTCCATTATCTCATATGCGGGTGATTTCTCAAGAGTGGGGCCAGGATTTCATACCAAAACACATCAACACCGATCTTCAAAATCTGGACACCGGTTCTGAAATGCTGTTTTTCTTTCAAGCGTGACCACGGTTACGCTTCAACACACTGTGTCTAGTCCCGGCTCTTTGCGGAACTAAAGTACGGGACTGCGGTCCGGTAGCTTATATGTTTGAGACCCATGCCCATGCATGATACAAATAGCAAAAACAAGTGGCTACCAGGATTGTGTACATATAGGGTTAAGTGATGCGGAACCCTTTTGAGTAGCGTGTGTGGCTATCTCTTTGCGGCGCTCACTCAGATACCCGCTCATCACCACGCTGATCAACTCGGGCGTCAAGCTGGCGTTCCTGCCGACGGCCGACTTCAGCCAGCTGGTGACGAACGGCGAGGTGCACGTCAACAACCTGCTGCACAAGTCGACGCTGGTGCTGGACGAAGGCCTGGCCGCGGCCACCAGGCCCTTCGAGCAGCTGAGCGAGGACGAGCGCGACAGGGTGGCCACGTCCGAGCCGGTCGCACCAGGCGACGTCCAGTTCGAGCTGACGCGTCCGTTCGTCCTCGTGCTGCGCGGCACCGCCGACGGCGCCATCCTGCTCCTGGGCGTCGTCAGGGACCTCAAGAAGATGAAGTAGCAGCGGCGGCACGAGGTCCGACGTCTCCATGTGGTCGGCCCCAATAAAAGTGTCGGTTCTTACACACGCCCTCGTTCACTACATCACGTCTGTACTCCTTCGACTGTAGGCACCTCATTTTGGTCGCTCCTGCATACGGTTGCTCCTATGGCCTCGACTTTAGTAAGCTATCAGTAGGTTGATACATGTATCTGTACGGCTCGAAACAAATGGATGAAAAACTCAACCACCGATAAAAAACGAACAAAAAAAAAAGCAATCCACCCCTATAGCGATGAATCCGTACCTGCGTGTGCACAGTCGAGGCCAACCGTAATGGGGAGAGTGAGTCACCAATAAAAAACGTAACAATCTTGCACTCATTATAGCAAAAAATAATAATAAGTAAATCATCCCCGATATAACAGAACAGATATAACAATGTAGATTGGTGCTCGAGTCCTTACACAATTTCTGCGGCAATGCTATAGTAACCGATCGGCACGCTTTAAGTGCTCCGGACTATAACCATGCTAAACAAGATTCCATATAGCGAACCGATTTGGGAGGCAATGACCCCTTTCTCGCCACCTATATTGAAGCAATAAATATTGCACCGGAGGCGGTACAACCTTGCATAATAGACACCCCGACGCGCTATACGTGCGTGACTCGCCGTCACGTGTAGATTCGCAGTGAGGTGCCAAGCCTGAGGGAAGAGCGGAGCAGGGCGGCCTTCCTCGTTTGTTTTTTTCTTTCTTTTTGAACGCGAAAGTGTTTTTTTGTCGGGTCCACCACAGCTCCGCTGACGTATTTCCGTCACGGATACGACGTAAAATATATATACTAACAGTGCAAAGAAAAAACGGGAAGAAAAAAGTTTCATATAGCCGGGCGTCGAAGCTATGACCTCTCGCTCCGGAGCGCGCTGCGCGATACCGCTACACCATGGAGCCCATTTTTTTTCTTTAATGAATGAGATTATCACCAGTAAGTACACAGAACATACTTCATCAGAAGTCAGGCAAACACACACAAGCGTCAAGAACGGGAAGCCAGACCGGAACGGGGTCAAAAGTCTCGACAACACTGCGCATTTGAGCAGCTGCTTCTCGGAAGGCAGATCTCGTCGACCGTGGTGGCTCGGCGTGTCTATCGATCATGCGACTTTTCCATAATGAATAAAGTCCTAACAACATAAACAGGTCGTAAGGAGTACTATCAGTCAGACTCTTTTTGAACGGAAGGAACCTAATACCATGGGCTGTGATTGGAAGTTGTTTCCTTAACGTTTTTTTTAGAATGTCCCAAAAATAAAAAGCATCACGACAATGAATCAAACAATGCTCTATAGTCTCAGGTTGGTTGCAGAGTCTACAATTCACTGTCCAGGGTACGTATATTGATTTTTCATTCAGCCACGTTTTCACTGGCAGCGTGGAAGTGTGCAGTTTAAAGAAAAATGTTTTCGCTGAAGGAGATATACACATTCTACGTACACGAAATAATACATCGTGACCAGGCAGAAGCGAATATGGCTTTCGATAAACAGGTTCGGGAAAAGGTTATTCACAAGTGCAGCGGTTAAATTTGTTCTGTCAATAGTATACAAATACTCTAAGGTAAACCTGGCTTTCAAAAAACTGACAGTATCAACAATTTCTTTTAGGAATCCCCGCAACGGCAATTCCTTAGCAACGCTTGTTGTGACATGAATAAAAGGAAGGTGGTAACATAGACGGTTACGAAGAACCGCTAATAGAAATGGGTGGCACACATCCTTGAGGTAGAAAAATTGCAACACCAACTGTCGCACGAACAAATGCACAAGGCCGAGGCCACCCTTTTCGAGTGGAAGAAAAAGATTGTCTCTTCTCATGGGTTCCCAGGAAGAGCTCCAAATAAAGCAGGCAAATATCCTATGAAAGTCTTGAATGTGTACCCGAGAGCAATGCAAAACCTGCAGAATATAAATAAGCTTCGATACAAGGAATATATTGCACGCTTTCGCTCTGGCAAAAATGGAAAGCTCCTGTCCGTGCTGTTGCCACCTTTCGGCGGATCGTAGTTATCGCAGCGGTCCAGTGTGGGCCGCTGATACGATAGTTATCGAGAGGCACACCAAGGTATTTCATAGGAGTCGCATTCCAATGAATATTTGCGAAGACCGAAGGAGTTGTAGCCCACATGCCTAGCCAGAATCCACTACTTTTAGCAAAATTTATGCTGGCGCCAGCGACTTCACAGAAACGTAAAGTAGTGTTGACTGCTTCTTGAACGATGGGTTTATCAGCGCAAAAGAAGGCAATGTCATCTGCAGAAGCTAGAACTTCGATTAACCATGGTGCCCATGTTGTCCAGGTGGCTAGCGGTGAGCCATTTATATACACCATATACCATTGGCGGTACTCGGAGCTTAGAAAATTCAGCGTGTTTTCCTCATCAGTAGCGCGCTAGCGCGAAGGGCGCGAGCGTATACGGCTCACTTTACTAATGGTAGTGACAAAGCACTTCGGTAATCATATCTCACGCGTGTTATAACCACACTACGTGGTTATAAAACCCAGTGGCTGTACTACCATACCAAAGCAACAAAAGAACAGCGACACAAATATATCAGAGCATGCGAAGTGAAGGCTTCTTTGTTAAAGCTGCGTATAAGAGTGCTTCGGTCAAAATACAATAAAACTATGCTAAGCCGCCAACAAACACTGTCACAGTGAAAGCTGGAAGAGCGGGCTTTCAGAGCACTTTTAAACACTCTTCAAGTTAACTATCACGCACAATTGCAGGGTACCCACTACGCCGTTGTACAGTATAGGCAGGCATTCACCAGGTCGTTGTTCGCCATTCTTCGGAGAAGCGTGGTATACCTACCGCGTAATCGCAAGGAACTTCTTGCAACTTTTTTTGTGCTGTGCTTGACGAAGAAGAATTATGGCAGTATATTTTGTAACATCCCCCTATCCGCCACAGTGGGTATGCGCCACAGTTAATATGCGAACAAGATCAAGCTTTTGTACACGGTTGCAGCATTCGACGACCCACTCTGCGCACCATTCGCATCATAATTGCGACACCTGATTATCACTTTGCTGTTACAAAACGCTTTATTATGCTCATATCAACTCGATTCCTTTCCCCCCACCAAACCTGTCCAATGCAAGTTGGTAAATTAGTTCCAAGCACCGGCGTCGTTCAGAGGTAAAATACTAAGCTGGCACGCAGGGGGACCTGGATTCGAATCCCATTGTGTCATTGCCGAGTTTCTTTTTGTTCTTATTTCGTGCGATAGTGGTTACGTACACCGGCGGCGGTGGACAATTACGGCGCGCACGCGAACCGTGTTGAGATCTCATATAACAGCTTTCGCTGAAAAAAAAAGAGCCGTAATACAACACACGTGAAAGATATGCAAAACATACAAATGTATTAGCCTGACGACAGCAACGCCACATAGCTTGGCTATTTCATCGGTGTCCGCGAAGTGGAGCTGACTGAACTTTTCAATCCTTTAATACTTTCAAATATTGCTTTTAAAGTTCATAAACGAACTTTCTGAGTGGGTAAGGGCCACTTGAGCAGTATACGATCGTCGTCAGAAGCTGCAGTGCGTTGTTCGATCTCTTTTGTTTACAAATGATTCGTTTCTTGGCCAATCCAATCCCACAGAGTGTGCATCAGCCATAGACACGACAATCATCATCATCATCATCATCACAATCATCATCATTGTAGTCATCATCATCACCGTCATTGTGGTCGTCGTCATCGTCATTAACATCATGATGTGATGATGACAATAATCATCATCATTATCATCACCATCATCACAATCATCATCATCGTCGTCATCATCATCATCACCGTCATTGTGGTCGTCGTCATTAACATCATCATGTGATGATGACAATCATCATCATCATCATCATCATCATCATCACCATCATCACAATCATCATCATCATCGTGACCGTCATTTTGGTCGTCGTCGTCGTCGTTGTCGTCATTAGCATCATCATCATCTCGCAGGCTCGGTACCCGCCAATCACGAGTAGGCTGCAGCGTCGGGCAAGCGCAACACAGCCACGTTCGATATCCTAACCACCCGCAAATTCCTTCCAAGGAGAAGAAACCCGTCCATTTCGAGGCCGAATCTTTAACCCTGACCCGGCGATTCGAAACCCTCGACGACGGTCCCAGCTATGAGCAGCACCGTGCTTAATAAACCGGCCGCGGAGCCCAAGGAGACCTCGCCAACCCCCAAGCCCCAGCAGCCCCGGGCGACAGGGGAGGCGAGCGGCAACCCGGCCGTAACCGCTCTCAACAAGCTCGGCCTCTCGATCTTCCAACAGGTAACAATATCACCGTATTTACTCGAATGTAACGCGTTCTTTGAGACGATACAGTCTATCTCGGGATACCTGAACGCATATGTGTTGGTCTGTTTGTCTCTCTGTCTGCCTATCTGTCCAGCGATTAACCACCCGGCCAAAATTTAAACACCTGCTGAACGCCCGGCCATCTTGAAACTGCGGCTGGGCTTGTACTTGTGAACGTAGTCAATGAATAAGCAAATACTACGCATATCTGGTGCGCAACATCAATACGTATAAGGTGGTGTATTCCTTTACTATAAAATACATAGACACGTAATTCAAAAGACCTGTGTGTATCTCACGCTGCGCCAGAGTCCTTCAATGCTTGAAGGACTCTGGCGCAGCTTCAAAGCATTGAAGGACTCTGGCTGCGCCTAAAATGCGACGCTATATGCCCGAAAAAGATGGCCGGTCGAAGACTATCGTCTTTGAACGAAATTCGCCACGATGTGCGCAGACACGCGGCCATTTCTTTTTCAATTTTTTGCCACCTTAATTGAATCGACCCTCGCGTTACCATCGAATACCGAACTTGTTGTGTTGTGAGTTCGCTAGCATAGTTTCGGTTCGGTTATCGAAGTTGCTAGGTGGCGCCTCGCTCAGCAACGGCGATTACGGCTAGGTGGCCTTAGCCGCTGCCCGATCTAAAGGGTAAAGCCACATCCATCCAGCGATGAAGACACTTATAAGGCACTTTGTAAATAAAGTGCGTGAGCAGTGCAGTGACGAGCACTCCAAGTCGAGTAGTCATTCTACAGCGCTTCCGCATAGCTGGCGATGGTCCCTGCATGCCGGCCGCGTCGACCACCAGTCGCGTACTTCTGCTTCGCTGAGTCGCTTAGCCGCTACACAACAGAAATAATTTTATTTCTTTCTGGGCGTAATGTAGCCAGCCCTTGCTGGCCCAGCAACACCTTTTCCAAGTAGCCATAGAATGAGTTCACTAAAGAGGCTTATTGCCTCACGTATTCACGACCGCAAAAAATTTGGAATAAGCCCAAAAGATTTGTCACACGCTGTAATTGTATTCTATTTTCCCTCGTTCCGACGAAAGCACTGGAAGCCGAGCTGCGAGGGACCGCACAGGGAGAAGAAAATGCGTCACGCGCGCCTTGTGACCTTGAGAACTATTTCTTTTTTTCCCCCTTCGAATGTTCTGCTTTTCAGGGAGCTCGCGCGCGCACGCGTGGACAAGTCGCGGCCTCCCGCGGCAGCCCCAGTTACGACCGAGGGCGCCATGCTCAGGTCAGCCAATGGCTGATCTTATAGGCACGAGACGTAGTGCTCTTGAACGTGAAAAGTCATTTGTCGAGAAAAGAGAAAGAGATATTTATAGCTGACTTTGACAAATTATTGAAGATCACTGGCCTCGTGCTGCGCTATAATATATGAACGCGTGTTCTCAGGAACCTCTACTAACGATCGGAAGCGTTTTCTGGCCATGCCTAAAAAGTGTTGCAGAGCGCCTTTAACCTCGCCTCTTCTAGTTCACGGCGCGGCCGCTAGACGCGGGACTTTGTGAAAAACGTATTAGTTATTTCCCGCCAGTTTCTGTCTGAAATGAGGGCTGTTTCTACCATGATCCTTGATGGTAGAGCATGCTGAGAGCAAAATAAGACGCATTCGAGACACCACAGCACCAACTTTCAAAGCGCGAACGTCAAACGACAGTTTTATTACTCGCCGATACCACTAGTATATGTGCCAACAAAGGCATACGTCACGTGTGCATAGCTCTCACCATCAACGATAACCTACGCGCGTATACATCGCAAGCCTGAAAATACATGTATCGAGGGAATTTCTCCTATAGTGCTTAACCAAAAACGGTAATCAACTTACGCTACCACAAATTAACATGCTACCATACCAACAAGCCCAAATTGCCACCCTCAGCGAGCGTTGTTACCAATTTGAGCAGCACCCAATCTTTCAGTTTGGCAAAATTTCTCGGCGGCAAAAATTTTGTTCGGTGTCGCTCAAGGTCGCTTTCCGGTTTCTTTTCCACACACGTACGGCGACGCAGGCGGCGGAGCACCTGGACCACAACGTCCTCCTGTGCCCGGCTGCTGTGACGGCGTCCCTCCTGACGACGCTGGGGTGCGCCGAGGCCGAGACGCACCTCCAGTTCCTCGAGCTGATGGTCAAGGAAGGGGGCAAGCTGGAGCACCTGCAGGCGGCCGTGTTCGGCGTCTTCGACGCTTTAGAGAAGGACAAGGCCAACGCCGAGGCCGCCCTCATCTATAGGTACACTTGTTTTGAACGCGAAAGTGTTTTATCCCGCAATCCACCAAGGCTTCAGTGACGTATTTCCGTCACGGAAATGACGTCGAAAACGCGCACGATCAGAAGACAAAGGAACAGAGTTCTGTAATGGGAGTCAAACCCACGAACTCTGGGTCAGCGACAATAGATTCCAGGGCGCGCTATTCACTTCACCACGGGCACATGCTTTGAAGGCTTGACGCATTTTATATCTACCACTATCCTCTCAAAGCACTCTTGGTTAAGTGCTGTAACGCATCACGACTGTGTCATCCGCAATTAGTTCCCCCAATGCGTCATTTCTAAGCACCCCTCTCATTCGGCATGTTGGAAACAGAAAAGTGCAATTTCGCCAATTACGCTCTAAATAATAACAAACGTTGTCAACTCCAAAATGAGTATTTTAACGCCTGGGAATGCATCGAATATATTTTTAAGATCGCGACTTCAACAACACTTTCAGTTTCGATATTCGGAGGAATGATTCTCAGTGACATGTTATAATAGTGTGACGTCACAGGGAGACAGCAACTGGCGACGTGCTAGCGGCAGATTTGTAGTTTGCTCGTGGTGCACGTAAAAAACGATGAGCTAATTGTCGTACTAAGCGACGAAAACTTCAAAATAAATGTAAAACATTTTATACCTGGTGTCTGACTCCAGTGTCACGGTGCAGAGCGTTAACACTGCTTGCTGGGGAAACATACATCTTTACGATGTCTCAACATCACGAGTACTCCTTTAAAGGAGTTTTCCTTCATGAAAAAAAAGTTAAGGGTGGGAGGAGGGTCGCACTAACAGACACGAACAAAGGAAGAAAGACGACCAAAAAACCGCACTTTGTACGAGTATGTTGATGCACCTCCACTCCCCCTTCTTTTTAAAGGCGAAAGCCTTGGATGCCTTTTCAAACGCGAAAAGCGACATATATATATATATATATATATATATATATATATATATATATAATGTGTGTGTGTGTGTGTGTGTGTGTGTGGTGTGTGTGTGTGTGTGTGTGTGTGTGTGTGTGTGTGTGTGTGTGTGTGTGTGTGTCGTTATGGAAACCTAAACTATAGCCAGAGGAGAGCTGTCGCAGTAAATAGCTAGGGACATTGATGTTAGGTATCCGGCCTTTCATTTAGAACACGGAGGAAATGAAAACTTGTAAAGTGCCAAAAGAGAAAAACAGACCATCAATCAGTTGTGTACAGTTAAATAGACACTAAAGTCAAATAACAATTTACGTGAAAGTGAAAGCTCAATGAATGACAATGTCTGAAACGACAATATTATCAATAGCATGCCCTACTTGCCGAGTAATTAAGGCATGAGAGCACATGCACCGCACTAGGACATTCGCAAAATGATCCCGATGACGTGAAATGTACCACCTGTAAATAATTACAAGCAATCATACTAGCTGCACTAAATGAAGAATTTTTCGTGCATCCAGAGACGTAATAAAATGCTGCTTGTTCGTTTCTATTTGATTCATGAGAAAATGAACCGCCGGACGTTACTATGGCGAATGGCGCGAGTGGTTCAAGAGTTCAATTTTCGCCTGGTTGATCTGAACAGGCGGTGCCATCTAGCGGGGCCCGGTTGAACCAAGCACGTCTGCCATCATGGAGGCCACGACAGGAAATTGTTTAAAGGCCGTTGTTGCTCATGTGGCTCCTTCCGTTTTCGTTCTGCTGCTACTATAGTCTCGGCGGCCGCGAAGTAAAGCCGGGCAACATTGTACGCGGCAACAGTGACGTGAGACTTTCTGCTTGAGGCGGATAACTTGAAGCGCGCTAACCCGATGCGGATCACTAAAACGCAATTTTACTTTAAAATGGACACTTCCTTGGCCCAAAAGAAACACTACCACGTTTCTAGACCACTATTTCAACAATCAACGTCGCCTTAATAGTTGCTTAGAAGTGTGGCAGCTTGGGCTTCAGTGTCCCTTTAAACCTGAATATGACGAAAGTGGTAAAACAGGCAATTTACTTCATATAGTCGCCAAAAAACTTGTGCTACTGCTACTACAACTACTACTACTTTCTCTCTCTTTCTCTTATTTTTTTGCGTGGTAAGAAACAGAAGAGTGTTCGAGTAAAAACACATTACAAACATAAGGTAAATTCAATTCCCCCCTTTTTGTTTTGAACCCGAGAATTGGCGACGACGGCTCGATGGTGCGCCGGCAAATAAATGTGCTTCACAGCGGACGAACGTCACGCATGAACCCGAAATAAATGCAGTTCAGACGCACTATATTTATCAGTAAATAGACATTCGCAAAAACCGCGTGCAACTGAACTATAAGACGACTATAGACCCAGCAGAAATTTCAAATTCATCGCGTCGATCTTGCTCCGGGTCAGCACTGCCGCTACGTTATACAATCAAATCACGGATAAGACGCTTCGTTATACTGAGGCTAAGAGCCCCGCCACGGCGGTCTTTGTGGTTATGGCACTGGAGACCACCAGGAACACATGGAGATCGAATCCTCCATACGCACAGAATGTTCTATATGGTTAAGTGTTTGACGCGACTGACGGCAGAATTGAGAAGGCAGTCTTGGATTTCGCTCAAGGCCGGTGAAGCACTGTCAGTTCTATTTTCGGGGACAATTTCGGTATTTAGAAGTTATAACACGAAGTTGTGTTCGCCCACAATAATAGAGTCTTTTCTATATATCACCAGTTTTGAATTGAAACTTTACCGGTGCTCTACCTACTGACAGTCTATTTTAAAAGCTTCTGTTACATTAGTGTAAACATTATCGGCAGAAAAGATCGATTATGTGTGGGAAATAAGGGCGTATATACATTACTTCTCATCGCTGGTTTGTTGTTGAGTAGAGCGATACGGATGACAGCACTTTAGTTATCTGCAGGATTATCGACAAGGTTACGGTACACTTAATTAATATACGGAACATCGATACCCGTGTAACTTTAAACATTTCAGTGTCTCTATTGTATATGTATCCCTGGAAGTGTATTCCGGGATACGTTTATTCATCTTTTTGCAAAACTATCTTCGTGAAATCCCGTTATGTCGTCTATAAATATTTTTCAGTACTTGTATTTTCAGGCTTTCAGCACGTGTATTTTGATATTTGTACTTTCAGAATACTTTGATGAGTGTCTCTGCCCAGTTCTGAATCATGTGCATAGACGCGTTCCATTGTGCTGGAGATACACAGGAACAGCATTATGATGAGGCTCATGTGAAAAACAGCTTGCTCTGTTCCAATGGTTATTCTATGCGACACTCACAAGAGAGAGAAAAACACGAGAATTATTTCGTCTGTCTCTCGACGCACCTGCGCTTGAACAGAGAACAACAACAAAAAAAAAGCTCAGCCAAACGATGTAGAAGTCTGGGTTTGTGTTCACACATATAGTTTTGAAAGCGTGTTTTTGCGTTAATTAAAATGGTTTGATTCATTTTTTCAATTGTTTATGAGTCTGTCTCTCTCTCTCTCTCTCTCTCTCTCTCTCTCTCTCTCTCTCTCTGCGTCAACGGCATTGGCTGTGCAGAGCCGCATCCATTCTGTATGGATAGCCACGCACAGTTCCAAGAACTTTCTCACTGACACGCTTGTGCCTAAAATCTCACGTCTTGGAGCTTCCAAGACCAAAACTATATATTCTCTTTTTGTTGACTCAGTGTACAATTTAGGCAATAAGGAATCCAGGACCAACGTTAAACATATCGCACACGTCATTTGAAAGTGCGGCAAACAAGCGCCCACTGCGGCGCGCTTGAGGATAAAAGCGCCGCAGCGCCGCCCAGTGGTTTCCGTGCAAACGGCCACCCCTGGCGGACCACTCTCGTCCCACTGCCCCTATCTAGTTCACTATAATACGGGTAAACTGGAGAGATATACTGAAAAACGCCACCTTCTTCGGCCTGCGGTGGACTAAACCTGACTCATGATGATGATGATGATGATGATGATGACGATGCAAACGCAGGATGTTCGTGAGCCGACACCTCGAATTGAGCGCGGAATGCGAAGAGATGCTGAAGACGCAGCTGCGGTGCCGCGCCGACCGGGTGTCCTTCCGCTCGAGCACCCCCGACGACATAGCGTACGCCGTGAACGGGTCCTTCGCCGACGGCAGTCCGCTCATCGGAGAGGTGCTCGCTCCGCAGGCCGTCGACACCACCGCCAGCCTGCTGGTCGCCTCGGCATTCCACTACAGGGTACGTTTCACAGAAGGTCTATAGACCTTTTGATCGGTGAGAACAAACGCCGCCATGCTGGGCTTCGCACAGAACTACAGAAATCGACCTGACACAGAGATGACAGTGCATTTTTTTTTCAGTGTTCATATGTCTTTTTAACGAGGATTATGCCGGCGTCCATAGAGCCGTTCGTGAAAAGGCCTATGTACCTTTTTTAGGTCTACACACCTTTTCACAGCAGGCTCTCTGGGCGCCGCCAAAGTCGGCTTTAGGCTGTGGGAGATAGACCTGAGCTCGCAAGAACTGCACTGCCGAGGCGTCAATTTTTCGCGCTAAACTTCACCGTCCAGAAAGGTGGTCTTTCTCATGTGAACTGAGGAGCACGGCGCTGCCATTTCGGCACCGCCCCCTTGTGCGTACATTGGTAATATACAGTACCGGGAATGCACCTTTGCATCGAATGCTGCCTGGATTCCGCGCCGCAATTCCCTCAGTGCTGTTGCAAATATGCGCGGGTCTCCAATCATGCATTGCCGAGGCAGCGATGTCAGCGTGTGTTGACTTTCGGATACTTTCGTGTAGCCTTCCACAAAAAAGAAAAAAAAAAACGTTCCTTCTCTCTGAAGAGAAGGAAGCCTCCTTTCGGTACTGTGACACTGAAGTACAAATGCTGACGTCACTGCCAGGGAAGGGGCGGAGGTCATAAAATTTCAGTAGCAAGCATGCCTTAATCGGTGTGCTCTTCTTTCAGCCCCTGCGTGTTGCTCTATCCATTCATCGTAACATGCACAAAAAAGAAAAAAAAAATTCAGTTTAGATTTTGTAAACCTAGTTATCACGAGCATAAAGTACGCTTAGCTTGATTTCGCAAACAGTATACCGTCCACACAGGTGGCGACTGCAACAGCTTCGACCTTGGCACGCTTCCAAGCTTGGTATGTGCTTCTCTATAGCCTACAAATCTGGCCTCCTCCGGTGTTTCGAAAGCTGCCCTACCTTTGCTTGAGATATCGCAGCCTGCCCTCTAGCTCCATCTACTTGATGATTGGATTCGGCCTGTTGCTTGCGCTGAAGCGCGCATAGATGGCCCAGCCGAGGCCCCATCCATAGCGTGAGCGAGCGACAAAGCGGTAGAAAAGCAGCCGTTAAACTTGAGCATAGTTAGCATCCACGCGAAAATTCGCACGAATAGTTATTGCGCGGCGAGGTTACTGTGCCTCGAGTGCTCTGGGAGAACGGGTCATTGGGCCCGACGTTCAGCAAGAAAGAGTGGGACACGCTCCTGCCAAGCCCCCTCTCCAAATACCAAATCTTGGCTGTGATCGGGCACGCGGACGCTAATTCCTCTCGCTCCCGTCGTGAGATTAGACATGTGCGCGTTTTGTCGCGTTTTGCCAGACCAAATAAAAGTTTAGTCACTCACAGTCACGTGGTCCCGCAGCCGCGGAAACTCCGAGCGACCACTCCCGCGACGACTCTCCGGTAACGTATCACGTGGCGTGACTAGGAGCGAGCGAGGCGCCGGGACGAAAAGGCAGCAGCTGCTATGGCTGTAGCGTCCGAGCTGGCAGAGAGCCAAGAGGGTTTGAAGTCTCGGATATGCGCTGTTTTGGAAATAATACCGACGAAGAAGACGCAGAGATGAAAATAATTATAGACGAGACAAAGCGCCTACTTCTGTCTCGTCTTGTCTACTTCTGTCCGCATTTGCGCCTTCTCAGTCGGTATATTTTAAAACAGCGCATATCCAAGATTTCAACGTCAAGCAACTATACCCAGTCGTTGCTTTATCAAGAGAGCAACATGATATTAGCTCGCATCTATGCACTCATGCGTCTTTTCTTTTGTCGAGGCTTCCCGGATGTGCCTTGCGTTCCGCATCGGCGACTCAAGGTCATGGCGACGCGATGAATGACCTTGAAAGACACGGAGCCAGTAAGAGCTTTCGTTCCACACCAACTCCGCAGGGCCTTCGGGAGCCGCCGTTCACGTGCAGCCCGGAGGAACTGTCCTTCAAGCCGACGGCGACCACGCAGGTGTCGCTGGAGTTCCAACAGGGTGCGGGCTCCTTCATGTACGGCGAAATCGGGAACACCGAGGCGACCAAGGTGCTCGAGTTGCCGTACCGCGGGGGCGCCGTGTCCCTGCTCCTTCTGTTGCCGGACAGGGCTCGACTTCTGAAGGACCTGATAGTTCAGCTCACGCCGGCCTTCCTATCGAGGGTCGCCGGCTGCCTCAAACCGAAGAGAGTGCGCGTCGAGATGCCACATGCCAAGATCGAGGCCAGGTACGACGAAAGAAGTTTTCTTGGGCCACATGTCGCATAAAAGGTGTAGGATAAAGCATATCGGGGCGGACCACAAAAAAGGCAAGAGAAGCAGCGTCGTTGCCTAGCAACTGTCGGGTATAGTGCCTGTGCTCGTCTCGATCGTCTCTTATTTATGGGTCCATCCTGCGCGTTTTGCGATAAAATATGCACCTTTACAGATCCGACGCATATATCTTCGATATTTTTGGAATCCCCTTTTTCAAACGGTGCGGCGACGAATTCCCCATGCATGCGTGTCACTATATACTGGATGCTTCACTGAATGTGTCAGATAACTTCCGCGGAATCCCTCCGCGTGGTAGAAAGTCACGAACGGTAATACTGCAGCGTGCAACCGTAAGTACCACAAAGAGAGACAAAATCTATGCGGATTACGTATAAAAACTTTTTTATTCACCCTCCTTTGGTGTATACGAACCGGGCGCCAAAACAGAATCGTACAGAGTCCGGTCAAATGGTGATCATAGGGAGAGGCCTTTGCCGTACGTGAAGTGGATACGAAACGGACCGATGATCGTAATGACGAATGGTCACGGTCCGCGTCACCCTCTCGAGCTGCTGGCTATATAGCGCTAATGTTTTCTAGAATAGGTAGCACATACGATCGCGCAAACGTGTGCATGTGTCCGATTTTCCGGGAAAACATTTGGGGCAACACGTCCGCAAATACGTCGCACTACCACCAAAAATTCACACATGCAGCCGTAAATGAGCATATGCTTTGCTACAGCAAAGCTCCCATCGTTCGAATGATCTCTTCGCTGCCAGACAGCGTTACCAACACGACCGCTCAAGTTTACAGCTGCGGTGCTCCACCCAAAAACCTAGAAATTTAGAGAAAAAAATAAATTGCCCCATAGTTACACCCGCAGCTTCGGTTCTCCCGAGTTTCAGCCTGCGATTATATACCGCTTCGTCCACGACCCCGGCAATACGCCATCTGTAGGTGTATCTGGGAACCAGGAGCGCGACAGCGCAGGACTCTCGTCCTGTCGTCGGGTACATTCCTATAACAACTCCACTGTTAAACACTTTCATAAGGGCATACGGCAAACACGAAGGCGACGGCCCATACGGTTTCGTTGCAACGTCACTTCCTGCAGGTACACGCTGAACACGACGCTGATCCGCGCGGGCGTCAAGCAGGCGTTCATGCCGAGCGCCGACTTCACCCACCTGGTACCCAACGGTGGAGTGCGTCTCGGCGACCTGCTGCACAAGGCCACCCTGGTGCTGGACGAAGGCAGGCCCGCGGCCACCGACAAGGAACAGCAGGACGCGGTGGCCACGTCGGCCGCCACGCTCGGACCGGACGACGTCGAGTTCGAGCTGACGCGCCCGTTCATCTTCGTGTTGCGTAACACCAGCGACGGCTGCATCCTGCTCCTCGGCGTCGTCAGGGACCTCAAGAAGATGCAGTCGCAGCCCGCGACCGACGGCCCTGTTGGGGTCGGCGTCCAGTAAAACGAGCGTTTTTCTCCTCAGACACGTTCTTGTAGATGCCACCTGGATACTCTCCTTCGACTGTAGCTATTTCGCCTGGTCGCCACTGTTGACAGTGTGCGCATTGTACCATTTAGTAGACTACGAGTACGTTGATGCACGTGCAGTCCTGTCCAATGTTAATGGGAGCGGTCAGCCACTCGTAAAAGCAATAAGAAAAATGAAACAATTTTGTACCCTTATAAGTAAAGTGCCCTCGATAAAACCACACGTACAAACCTTTACTCATAAATGATTCATTTTTTTTAGTTTTGAGCCGTTTCTTGGCGACGACATGATAGTTCACTGGCCTGTTGCGCATTTTTACGAATGCATTAATTCATTGCAATCCTATCTACTACAGGCGGAACGAGGAGGTAAGTTGTATGGGTTCTTTGGTCCACCTCCTAGCTAACCTGCTAAATAATATACTAGTACCTTGCGCCTCAACTTATACGGCCCAGCGTAGCCAATCCTATTCAAGCGACACCGTTCGGCGGTCTGTGCGAGAAAAAGGCAGTTTTTTGGTACAATTCTTGGTGATGCTCTAACGGCCAAATGGTGCGTATCCCTGGGCTATGGAGACGTCCTCGGCCCAGTTGGAGTGCCCAGAATAGCTTGCTCAGAGCTGTTTACTCTGGTAAAGTTCTGGCAAAGAGGAACAGCTCTGGGCAAGCTATAAATTCTATAGGAGATTGCCCAGGATAGCTTTTCCTCTGGTGAAATTTTGGGGGATTGCGCAGAATAGCCTGCCCAGAACTGTTCCTCAGGTAAAGTTCCGAAGGATTGCCTAGAATAGCCTGTCCAGAGCTGTTCCTCAGGTAGAGTTCCGTTTTGTGGATCTCTGCATAGCACAGTATTCCACTCCTGGCGACCCCATCTGACAGCATTTGGCAAATCCAACAGGATGCGAGTCATAGGTGTACGCATTTCCTCGCATAGAGACGTCCGAATACACTGAACCTGGTAAACAGTGGCGTGTAAGCCACCGGGTTCGGCTTTGTTTAAAGCAGTCGACATACGGGCCTTCTCGTGCTGCTGCCTAGTGCATTTATGACTTTTCTCGCTAAGCTTCTTGTTCTTGGGGCATGTCCCTACACTGGAGGTGTAGCTGTGCAACGTACCTACTACACGCTTACCGCAACTTTCAGGAAGTAGAGAGGCCACCACTATGCCACTATGGCACGAGTCATTCTGCTGATAACCTTGGTATCCACTGTTGCGTGCTGCGAAGAAGGCTCGTTGACAGGCGGACCGCGAAGTGAGAGCCCGCGAAAAAGAGGCGACACGAAGGCGGGGCCTGTATCGATATTGCCTTCTCCAACTTTGAACTGCAACCGCTAGTTCAATGTCCCCTGGCCACATACTCCATGAACCACAAGATTGTAAATCTTCAAAGGAAAACAAGTCTCACAGCTTTGTAATCAGTAATGTACTATAAAATTGCACCGGTATGTGAATGATTACATTTCGGGCATATATAGGTGTATATGCAATCTTTATATGAGGAGGGCCGCATCATAGTGCGACCACTTGTGAAACCTGAACTGTATGCGGTGTGTGTGTTATGTGCCAAGTGTATCTCCTCCTCTCTCTCTCTCTCTCGTTTTCTTCATTCCCCTCTCCCCCGTGTAGGGTAGCAAACTGGACTTAGTCTAGTTAAGCTCCCTACCTTTCTGATATTTCTGTATCTCTCTTAGGACTTGTACGGAGAATTCACGGGTTTTCCCGGTCAGTTCCGAGCAAGCTCCTCCGTCATCGTTTACTTCTTGGATGGACATGGATGGAGGAACTTTATTTGTAGTCCAGAGAAACGCGGCTAGCGTGCAGTGGAGATGGCGGTATTTTTTGTACTCTACATTTTAGCGCACCTTCTGTACAGAAGAGAAAGTGCGCTAGTCAGCAGTCTATGAAGGGCAACCGAAAATTGCTATTTTTTATTTTATATCGGGAAAGGTCTGTTATCCCTCTCGCACGCACTAAACACTTATCGAGAAATTCTAGAAACACTTATCGATAAGTGTTAGTGAATGGCGTAGCCAGCGCATAGAGGGGGAGGGGTTCTATTACACCCCTTCCCCCACAAATACGCTACTGGAGCTGGTTTACGCACGAATAATCGACAACTAGGTTTACTCTCTCAAGGCGCACGCCTCTTGAAGCTTGCAGCACGCAATATAAGTTTTAGTTCGGCATCCATAGCAGCTATGCGGTCGCGCATTCGATGACATGTTGACGAACGCTCGTCAACAAATGCTTAGAGAAACGACCTTCTTTTTCTTACAACACCTCGTTTTTTGTTTGAGTGTGTGTGGAAGGGAAATTCCCTTGAGTGGGCCGGTGCCAATTACGGGGCTTCATTATAGTACACAAAGGGGAAATCTGGCGCTGGTATCCATGGAAGCTGCAAAGCATGGCACCTCAATCATCATGATGGTACATAGATTTGCTGAAGTTCTTTCGGCTCTGTGTGGTCCGGAGCCGCTTTGTAGCTAGGCCAAGTTCAGCTAAATGCTCGGCAATCCTAGTCCCGTCGCGATCGAGTCAATGCGGAGGCCTATAGCCCCGGCCATTTTCGACCGAACAATTCGAATCGGCTGACGAGGTTGACAACCAGTGTTACGTTTGGCCCGGCGATTCGTCTGGGCAGACGCCATTGTGCATAAGCCGGTCTAATGGGGAGGCTCTCAGCCCCTTCGGCGCCTAGTCTGCCAGACGCTGTTGAAGATTTCGGCAAATAACCAGACCATGCAGCGTGCAAAGGCGAGTTCCTGACTTTCAACTCCGGACCCTTTCGTCGTCCCTTCGAGCAGCAGCGGTGACTGATAGCCTCGGCGACTCATCTGGCGACCGGGAAGCTGTTGTGACCGGTGCCAGAGCTGACAGGGAAGCGGCGCTCTTTTAATCTTCAATCGCGTAGCCGACTGGCCGGCTGCCTATGCTCGTCAGGAATTGTCCGTGCTAGCCGGAGGATGAGACGTCGTGTCGCCACGAGCCGTAAACCATTCCAGAGAGGACAACAAAGACAGCATCTTCCTTGGAAGAGACCGTGGCGGCCACCGCAAATCGCCCCGCTAATTAAGCGAACAAATGGGCGGACCCTTTGATGTATGCTGTCAGGATCTTGGGACCTCTCAACTAGCGGCACACACACGACGAGAAAGAGCCCTGCTGGCGCCACCTTGCAGTGCAGTGATCACGACTCAATATTGGACGTGCACGTGGGCCGTGCAAGCTCGTCCCCCTCACCTGTTGTGTGTGTGTGATTGGTGTTCCACTCGGAGAGGAGGAGCCCGACAGGGCTTAAAACGACGCCGCGTAGTGCTGGACGTCGCTCTGAACCATGTAACGGTTCAACCACCACGCTCGTGGTTTGTGAAACCACTAACCTTTCTTTGCTGTAAATATGTGTTAATAGTGCCATAAACCTGTTTGTTTTCGTATCCTCTTTTTGTCAGCATTCATTTCCTCCACGCGGTTACACCACGCTACCACAAGAGACCGGGTAGACCTCCAGTCGCAACAACTTCCTCCTTGCGATCCCCCCCCCCCCCCGACCCATAACAACTGGTGGCAGCGGTGGGATGCCATCAGCGACCTTCCTGTGACCGCAACACCAGCCATTCTTTTCTCCGAAACGAAAACCATAACAACTACAAACAAAGCCGCAAACGCAAAGGCGAGACAAACAGATGTACTACCCATCGATGGCCGAACCATAATCCTTCTAATAAATATTGTACGCAACACTACGATGCCAGTTAGGCCAGAAAGATCATCATCACCACCCGCACTGCGCGTTCGGGCCACGTTCTGGGAATACGCAGCGTCATCGACAAGAAGACGGTGCACGTTGCGGCAAGCAGTACGAGGCTCGCGGTCGAAACGGATAAATCGAGAGGCGCGTCGTCTCCGGGCCCAAAACCACAGTCCTATCCCGCCGTCTCGCGATCAACCGTCGCGATCGAGTCGACATCGTGGACGTGAGGCAGCTGCACAACCAGCCAGCCGGTGAGTGCACAGTTTACGTGTACTTCCCTCCGCATGTAGACCCTTTTTGCTGGCAGGAGGCATCCTTCCATTCTGTTGTTGCACGAGAGTACAAAAGCCGACGTCACAGCCTACGGCAGTGCTATTTCGGGGGGCTTATACGCTTTTAACAGCAGCCCGGAGTGGATTATGGCGGCGCCCAAAAAAGCCTTCGTTGACGAGGTGCATATAGGTCGCGCGAAGAGAGGATGTCGCTGAAGCTATTCACCGCAAAAATTTGGCTATCTCACGGGTGTAGAAAGCGCAGAACAAGAAGAGAGAGAGATACACGTGAACAGGATGAGCACTACAGCTGAAGCTATCTTTTTGACCAGTGGTCTCACCACTACGCCTTTAATAATCCGTTTCCATTAGCACAGATGGCGTCCTCTTCGAACCCGACTGCCCCGGATGAGAAGTCCCAGGACCCTCGGGCGCCGCCGGCGCCTACGTCTTCATCGACGGCCTCTCCGCCCATACCGCAGCCGCCACCGGAAGGTAAACGACGGCTGGCCGCCAATATCAGCCCGACGCCATCGGTCAATTCCCTGAAGGACGGCAAGGAGCAGGAGGCAACGTCGACCACAGCGCCAGCGGCAGCAGCGGAAGGTAAGTCTATAGCAAATTAGTGCGACACGAAGGAAGAAAGAAGAAAAGAAAAACTAAGAGGGAAACCAAAAAAGGGTTAAAACAGCTTGAGCTCAGAGCGCTGACCCCCTGGTAGCACAGTAGAGTGTAGCTAAGTATATCCCAATAAACGAAATATATATGTTTCCAAAATGTAGTCCAAATTAGAATACAGGCCAATGATGGTGGCGGTTTGGGCTTGTTGGTATGGCAGCATGATAATATATGGTAGCGCCGACAAAGGACACCGAAAAGAGAAGGCACACCCTGTGTTGTCCTGAATGTGCTTTATCTTGTCCGTGTCCTTTGTCTGCGCTGCCATATATTATCATGCTACAATACAGGCGTAGAAGAACAAATCGTAGTCGTCATATCACAACACTAATCGGAGTTGTTTCGTTATAAACTGGATATGTTAATGTCATGTTCCATTGCTGCGCGGTTCAGAAAAGTTAAAAGCTGAAGTTTTAACGTAACGATTTCCGCGATACGTTATATATACTTCAACATGTACCGCACTTCAGGTTGACGTACAGTAAACCACAAATGTTTACAGTACAGTAAACCACAAATCACGCAAGTGCGTGGCCAAGGGCACTTCGAGACCTCTTCGCTACGTAAGCGGCAAGTTATAAGCAGCAGCGCTCGTACGCTCAAAACGCAGTCCATCCCTTAATTGAAGCTCTTTTCCTACTGGCCACTAATATTGCTCACCTATCCCTTTTTTAACGCGACGCTTACTTTTGCAGCCGTGGCGTACCGAGAAGAGTCTATGAGTCTAGCTGTTATCGATCACAATCTTTCTCGCGAAGCGATATCGACTCAACGGCACACCGACGCACGCCGTGGAAGTTCCGTCTCTTCAATTAAAGTAGAAGTGTAACGTTCACGCGGCATATGAGCGTTCTTCGTGAAAACAACGAACCAGTAATGTTCTGTGCAGCAGTACGGCATCACGCGCTGGACATTGTAACGAGTAAGTGTGGTTAAGGCCTAACCACCCGAGGGTCCGCCTTTGCGGTGCAGTCGTTACCGTGTTTGGGTGCTCGGCGGCGAATGTTGATGACGGGATAATGGCAACCGGCTTTGCAACTGGGCCTGCAGTGCTTTCGGTGCATTAGTGCTAAAGGCCTGACCCCCAAGTCCGCGTTGCAGCCCGTCAGCGCTTGCCTTTTCAACGTTCCCTCCCAGTGTAGAGTGAGGGGAGCGCAGCTTTTCGTAGACGCGTACCCTCTCTCTATATGTGGAGAGGGCGCGGCGCTGCGTCAGAGAGACAACGCACTGCAGCGAGTGACAATGACGTAACAACACCACGTGTATATAAATCTTCTCGGTCTAAAATGATGCATGCACGCGTGCGCGCGCAGCAGCAGCGCACCCTTCTCCTCCTCGTTCAGCCGAGCTGCAGCCCGTGCAGGACTGCGGTCGGCTGCTGAACCGGCTAGCGGTGTCCCTGCTGTCCTTCATGCTGGACGTGCCGTCTCGCCTCCAGTGGAACGTCCTCGTGTCGCCCATCTCGCTCGTCAGCACTCTGGCCTCGCTCGTCGCCGGCTGCGAGGGACTCACCAAGAAGGACATCTGCGACCTGCTGCGCCTCAATCCGCCAGAGGTCGAGGCCATCGTCGACAGATTCAAGGTTGTTAAAGTGCCGCTTTTAACGGCGAAGGTGTTTTAGTTCGGCTTAAAATGTCGTGAGCCGAAACTATTATGGCCCTGCAGCGGCAACGCACATACCTTAGTCATCTTGTGCATCTTCTGTTTCACTGCGGGAATGCGTAGGTCAATTTTTCCACCATGACCCGCAATGACTCTGATGCGTGGGAGAACGAGTACAGAGCGATAGAAAAAAAAGAGATACGGAAAAAAAGAAAGAGCTGAATCATCGCCACAAAAAATTCTTCAACAGGCGGGATTCGAACCCCGGTACCCTCGATCCGGAGGCGAGCGTCTATAGTTACTCGTCCATCCAGACATACTAGCAGAGAACGGCATAGCCTTGTATGATGTAGTGTAGCAAGGCGGTGGGAAAGGAGAGTGATCGTGAGAAGAAGAGAAAAAAAAGGGAGAGATCTAGTGTAAAGCATAGCCCAGATATAACAGATGAGAAATAGGGAGAACCCCCCCCCCCCACACACACACACGAGAAAAAAAAAAGAAAGGCAAGGAAGACCAATGAAAGAGTTCGAAAGATGTTGACAGAAAGAAAGGGATAACATACGAAAAAACAGACACGAGAAAGAGATAAAGATAAATATTTATATAAAGACAGACAAATAAATACATAAAGAAACACATTGATAAAGACAGAAATACAGCAAGAAAGAAGACTTGAGATACTCAGCAAAACAGTAAAATTCGGTATTGATTGATTGATTTGTGGGGTTTAACGTCCCAAAACCACTATATGATTATGAGAGACGCCGTAGTGGAGGGCTCCGGAAATTTTGACCACCTGGGGTTCTTTAACGTGCACCCAAATCTGAGTACACGGGCCTACAACATCTCCGCCTCCATCGGAAATGCAGCCGCCGCAGCCGGGAATCGAACCCGCGACCTGCGGGTCAGCAGCCGAGTACCTTAGCCACTAGACCACCGCGGCGGGGCTAAAATTCGGTATTGCATCCATGGATGCCCATCAGCTCAGCTCTGTGTTTAGCATCACGCTTTTAGTGCAAACTTCACTAGTCCTTTTTTTTAGCTTGAGAGCCTTATCGTATCCTGTCCTTCAAAGGGGTAGTACAGAGGCACATCAAATCACTTTAGATACGCGCACTCTTATTTGAGAATGACATAGTCAAAATTTGGCTGCCATGAGTTAATTACTAAAAGATTAAATATGCTTAAGTATCGTGACTAGAATATCGCGTACGAACCACAGCACGCGAGTATCGGTGCGACATCACCTATTTGAAGTCTCCTTGCGTATGCCACATCGGTTCAGTGAAATATTCTGAGACTCGCTGTACTAACCTTTTTGTATTAAAATCACTCATCTTTTCCGACAGACGATTGCATGGGACCTAGCAGACGTCGTCAAAAGCTATGACGTCACGACGAGCTAGTGCGAGAACTTGAAGGCGGCAGCGCCACCTGTGCTTTCTTCTTGCGCGTGTTATTTTTGGCTTACCCAGCGCCCAGTCACGGCAATCGAGTGTAGAGTTCTCGGTATTTAGAAAACCGTAACCTACTAACACCTGGAAAATCGTTTTTATATGTATTTTTTCAAGGGAGGCAGGTTGTGCTGGCCACCTTGCACGCATAAAACAAAACAAAACAGAACAAGAAAGTCGGCTGACAGGATGTATGCATCACAGTTGCTTCTTCTGCGGCCATTATTCATAACATCCTGAATAAATAACCACGACTGAACACACGAGCGTCACTGACGCACGCTACGCAGTTCAGCATACGACTGCAAGGTCAGCTATGCATCATAGCAAACCAGTAGCGTTTCTTTTTCTTCTTCGAAATGAGAAGAAGGATTCAACCATACGTTACGCATGTTCGTGTGTGCGTTTGTATGCGTGTGTCTATACATACAAATTTGAAACTGGTGATAAGTGACAATTATGTTTGGGGTATGATAGCACAAAGGCCGCCGGCTGATGCAGGCCTACGTCGCGGTATGCACGATTTTTATTTTAAAAGCCTGCTCGTGCTTAGTTAAAAAACAAACAAAAGACATTAGCTACAATTAGCAAAGAGTAAACCGGGCGGGGCAATCGCCTGCAAATTATGCAAGGCTAGATCCGCCAGCTACCTACAACATCCTAATTCTAACGGATTTCAGTTAGGTGGCGGGGGCGAAACCCCCGCAACCTTTCTCTCTGTACCAGTATATTGTTGCGAGAGATAAAACGAGGGTATAGCGTAGAAGCAGGACAAGCGCACCGCTTGTCCTGTTTGTATACGTCCCTCGTTTAATCTCTTGCCCCGCCTTGATGCGCGACTGTTCCGCTGCTGTCTGATTGAAGTGTTCTCGTGTATTATTCTGTAAGCGGACACCGGCCAATTGGTCTACAATTCTTTTGTACGGATATTTAATTGTTGACCGAAATTAGTACTGACATGCTGTCACTTGTTGATCAATATAAATACAAAGTCATTTAATACGGCAGGACTCGTGATCGTCACGAGATAATAATAATAATAATAATAATAATAATAATAATAATAATAATAATAATAATAATAATATCTGGAGTACCGAAACCACGATATATGATTACAAGGTACGCTGTATTAAAGAAATCCGGAAATTTCAGCCATCTAGTGTTCTCTTAGTCAACTGAGATCGCGCAGTATACACGGAGTCTCCACCGACATGCGACTACCGCGGCGGCGGAATCGAACCCGCGACCTCCGAGTCGGCAAGGGAACAGCGTAGCAGCTGATCCGACGCGGCTTCCTGTAACGGAGTTTCTGACACGCGAAACTCGGCAGTAATAATTACCACGGGGTAATCACCACCGATCGGACTGGCGCAGACGGAATCGGCGGAGCACACGTTCTACGTGGCCAACCGGATGTTCCTGCAGTCCAACTGCCCGCTGCTGGCCACCTTCCGGTCGCTAATCGAGACCAAGTACATGACCACCGCGCAGAACGTCGACTTCGAGGTAGGCGCGCGCACTCTATAGGGAGTTTCGGAATACCGTTTGCGGGTGTTGCGGGCGCCATATGAGTTTTAGAATAGCGTTTGCCCTGCTGCAAACCGCAACGCACGATCGCAGCGACATCGTAGCCTCGACGAAACCAGCGTTTGCGGGCCACATGCGGGCCGCTATCACCGCACGCTATTTAGGATTTGCTGCGTGCGGTCCGCGAACGCCGACTCGCGTTACGACGCATGCGCAGTGGCAGCGACCGCACCGCAAAGGCTCGCGGGACGCTATTCTAGAACTACCTATTATTACACCGTTAACGGCATTCTCTCGTCACACTGGCTGAAGTTGGCGCATGCTATAGCATGCGCCAACTTATATACCGAAAAAGGAAATAATCGTCGCAACAACAGCCCCCCCCCCTTTCCAAAGAAAAAAAAAGCAGCTCGAATTTAGCGAAGATGACTAAATTTTTTCATTCCTGAATTCCCAAAAATACTTTTAACTATAATAGATACGTTACTAAATGTTAAAAGTTACTTCAATTACTTTGTACAGCGAAATTTATAGTGCAAGCACAAGTACGAACGAAAGCACATTTATTTTATTTTAACATCGTCTCCGAGATAGTCTCCATTTGTTTGAATGCGCGTTTTCCAGCGCATGATTAACCTTTCTTGTTGATTCCCCAGAACGTGAGTTCCACATCAGCACTCAGCTATACACTCCAAGCCGTCGAGAAACGCGCTGTTGGTGAACGCGATGACCAATGAACTAACTATATTCGTCAGAAACAGCACTTTTCTCTCCCTTTTGACGCAACATGTGCAGAGCCCGGACCAGACGTACGTGCGCGCCATCAACGAGTGGTGCAGCAACGCGACCAACGGCAAGGTTCCCGCCGTGGTGACGCGCAAGACGTTCGCCGGCAGCTCCTCGATGCTGCTCGTGAGCGCCGTCTACTTCCGGGGCCTCTGGAAGGACCGGTTCGACGCGAACGCCACGCACATGATGAAGTTCCACGTGTCGCGCGCCGACACCCTGGACGTGCGCATGATGACGCGCACGGGCCGCTTCGCCTACGCCGAGGTGCCCTCGCTGCGCATCAGGCTGCTCGAGCTGCCCTACCGGGCGGGAAAGCTCGCCATGGTGCTGGTACGTGGCGGGCCATTTCGGGACGGTGGTCCTGTCACGCGTGTATGAGTGGTGGGAAATAACAAAGCACTTCTATCTGTCAACAAGGGTATTCCCTCTCCCACACCCGGCCTTGTGCAGGGCGCAGGCAGTCACCCTAAGACTATTGCAAGCCAGTGCGTATCGTAACCCTGCGGTTCTTCATGCCATCTACCCTGAACGGCATCCAAGTGCGGATTGCCCCGCTTGTGGACTGTTAGCCACATTCAATCATGCGTTGTGGCAATGTGAAGCCATCGGCCCCGCCCTCAGCGAGGACAGGTGGGCTGCGTTCTTACGCAGCCCCGAACTTAAGGATCAAACCCTGGCCGTCCAGAGTGCCCGTGAACGGGCCGCCAAGCTCGGCTTGACGGTCCCTACGTGGGATTAGCCGGGTGGCGCGGGGTCTCCCCTGCGTCTTCTCAGGACAAAAATAAAGTTTTAATCAATCAATCAATCACGGGGTGGGTGGTACGATCGCCGTCGCCCCAAAACTTGCGTCAGCCTCATCATCTCTTCAGATACTCCAAACCATGCATTGTTGAGTGGTGGTCACTGCTGGGTCCAGTGAGCAGGGGAGGGGGGTGTAGAGGCGATCGCTGCCTCCCTTAAGAAAACACGTGTAAGCCCCCCCCCCCCTCAACTTCAGTGCCTCCGACCCGTGCTCGTATCGGCCACTCAGAACCATTTCTTAATGAAAGCTTAAAGCAGCAAAGTGCAGCAGTTATTTGTTTTCATTGTACACGTATACTATTGAAAAACCGATTAAACAAATGAGTAGTACTCCTGAGAACACCGATTAACAGTATTCGTGCTGTGATGGGTTTTTGTGACAATGACTACTGAAAAATAAAGAAATTAGAACTCCCCCCTGCGGGTCTTACAAGGTCGCAGGTTCCGATTTTGCCCGTGGCAAGTTACCTTTTCATCCACATCTTTTCCTTCGCTCCCAATAACACCCCATATACTTGACACGACCGGCTGGTTGTGAGCCGTAATAGTTTCTGAAACACACAAACAATGTGTTCCCTTCCACCAAGATCGCCGACGTTTCGAACGGCGTCTCGAAGAAACCGCTTGCCGAAGACGTCGGCTACAGGGACACCCCGTGCTCAAGAATTTCGCATCTCTTCACGCCTTACACTCCTTCTCCAGAACGTGCCTTTTGTTGAATCGCGACTGTGCCTATAGTTCGGTCATATAGGAACGCAAATACTTTGTGAGCTAATCCTCGTAACTTACGCAACGGGGGTTGTCTATATGTATGTCGGAGTACAGCGTCAGGAAAAGGGTTATAAAGATCGCCTTTGGGTTATCTATTGAACACTCCTTACGCGGTATGCAGCTCTTCTCGTGCCATTGATATAATTTAGTATTTGCTTTTAAATTTGATCACTTAGCCGTTGCATACACTTTGGCCATGTATTTTCTTGTTTTTGTATAGTTCCACTATATGTTTGAGTGGTTGTCGACCCCGAGCGATGTATAAGAAGGGTAGGAGGAGTTGCATCTGCCTCTTCATTCCACACAAACTGTCGAATTAAAGTTTGAAAAATTCAAATTCGAAATGTATAGTCACTCCGGAAGTCTGCTGTGCGCGCAGATCCTGCCCACGGAGGTGGACGGCCTTCGGCTGATCCAGCAGAGCCTGCTGGCCGGCGACACCCTGTGGGAGGTGACCAAGCAGATGCGGCCGCGCGCCAACGTCCGACTGGGCCTGCCAAAGTTCGTGCTCACCGCGCGCAACAAGCTGCGAGACCTGCTCGAGCATCTCGGCTCGCACCGGCCCTTCGATCCCGAGCAGGCGCAGTTCGTCAACATTTCGGGTTTCAAGGGCCTGCACACCACCGAGATCATACAGGCCGTCACCGTTGAGGTAGGAGGTGTGTGTGTGTGTTGTCTGTGTGAGAGAATAGGGTGTTCTTCTCTTTTTTTTTAAATCTAGCGACATCTCTTTATGGCCATAGAGTTTCCCACAATACTTACTAGAGGGAACTCTGGCGCTAGTGTCTATGGGAGCTGCAACGCACGGCGCTTGAGCGAGCATGGGAATGATGGGTAGTACACACATTTGTCTAATTTTCGTACTTCTGGCCTGCTTCTGGCTCCGTTTGTGTTCGTGTGGCTTGGAGCTGTTTTTTCACGACAAGATAAATTAGCAAATGTTCACCGTTTGTGCTTCACAACCTTATTCTTTTAAGCTTACTATATTGAATCAAGTCCATAAGTTCGAAAGGGTTTGTTCTTTCTTTCAAAACAAAACCGAAAAACAGCAATAAACAAAGCCGCAAGTACGATTCGCCGCCCGCAAGTATGAAGACTAGGCAAATGTGTGTACTACCCATCATTCCCATGGTCGCTGAACAATCGCAGCGCCAGAGTGCCCTCTAGTTAATTTTGAGAAACTCTATGTTTATAGCTACAAGTCTACTGGAAGTGGTAATACGTCTTCTTAGGGTAGGTGGACCTAAGTAATTGGAGATTGAGATGGTCTGCATGGCAGGAATTATACGACCGCGGATGGTAGTACAATTACCACTACGAATGGTACCTACCTACAAGGCAGAAACCTGTAGGTTCACAAAGAAGGATAACAGCGGAGCGGGTTCAATTTTGATTGAGGCACCATGCAGTGAACTATAAAAAGGAAAATTATGTCATTTGTCCTTACGGGACAAACGACAGGGAGAAATCAGTGTGGGTCAGGAGACAAACCATGTGTTTAGAATGTCTTAATCAAAGTCAAGAAGAAAAATGGGTATATGCTGGTCATTAAGAGAGTAACATCCCGACTTCTAAGAGAAGGTAAGCGCGCGAAGAGGAGGCAGAAAGTTTCGCGGGCAGATGCATCAACATAACACTCAAAGCAATATGATAGTGGCCACAACAAGCAACCACATATACCGGATACTAGCATCTGGTTAACCTCCCTGCCTTCCTTTTTTCTCGTTTCTCCCTCTACATATACTGTACTCAGCAGTTATGTCGGTGATGATTATGATAGTATGCATTACTGCAAGTCAACCTGATACTAACGAACAAGCGCGATGTCAGGCGTGTATATGCTTTTCGATGCGGAGTAGTGAACGCGCTTACAGCTTTCCGATTAGGCCAGCCTTCTCAGAGGTAATTGAAGTGCCCGGCATGCTCGACCAATGGCTCACGCCCAACGCAGGCGATAAGCGAAGAAACTGACCAGTTAAAGCAATTGGTCGCAGCTTGCGCGTCACATGCCGGCCATCCACCCCGTGCGCATACCACTGCCCGTCACTCTTCATTTTTTGTGCAAACATCAACAGAATGAAACTATCTTCCTGCTGACATCGTGCACCACTCCAGCATCGCCCATTTCAAAGAAGCCATCGAACAAATCATCTGTTTGTGAACTGTCTACCTCCTCATGTAACACCCCCTGACTGGGGCCCTTGAGGTATTATAAATAATAAATAAATAAATAAATAAATAAATAAATAAATAAATAAATAAATAAATAAATAAATAAATAAATAAATAAATAAATAAATACGATCGTGTTTTGTCTTCGTCACCACGACGACTGCGCAGGTGTCGGAGGACGGCAACGAGATCACTCGCACCTCGGCGCTGGTCAACGAGGTGGTGTCCAAGGTGGCGCCCACCACGCACTTCATGGTCGACAGGCCGTTCCTCTTCTTCGTCCGGAGCACGGCCACGGGCGCCATCTTCCTTTTCGGCTGCGTTCGACAGCCGCTCGAGTGGCGACCCGAAAGCCCCGACACCTCGTTGCTGCGCTGACCGGGCTCGCCTCCTCCGCGCAGCAAAGCCCGGTGGTCCGCGATATTTCGGGGCTCCGACAAAAAATCGGCGCAGGCTCAGTGACCTCCAGAGCGCATCATGTTATTTCTTTCCCTTTTATGAATTTAGTACGTCAATTAAAAAAAACTCGCATTTGCTGTTGACTTCACGCTACTGTTTCTTCTCTCTCCTCTATTTTACAGCAAAAGCAAAGGAGGAGATAGCACCTGACCAGACCTGTATAAATAAAAATTATGTCCTTTGTCCTTACGCGACAAACGACAAGGAGAGAGCAGAGTGCGTCAGGGGACAAACCATGTGCTTAGAATGTCTAAGTCGAAACCGAGAAGAAAAAATGAGTATATTCTGGTCATTAAGAGAGTAACATCCCAAGTTATAAGAGAAGGTAAGCGGGCGAATAGGAGGCAGAAAGTTTCGCGGGCGGCTGCAGATTAAGACTGAGTTTGCGTGACCACAGCAAGCACAAGACTGGATTGACTGGAGAATGGCATAGAACAAAGCTTTGCATTGTAGTGCTTGTCAGGCTGATGATTAAGATGACGATATTGATGACGTCTTTAAGGAAAAAAGTTTGAAGTTATTTACATTGCATTACATTGCATTTATTACTTACATCCCCCGGACATTCCTTGACATCACTGCCCATTAGTTAGTCATTACTATATTGACTGCGCTATTAAGCCACCACAGTAGCACGGTGGCATTCGGCTGATGACCCGAAAGGTGCGGTCAAGATGCCGGTCACAGCGGTCGCATTTCGATGCAGGCAAAAAGCTATAGGCCCTTGTACTGATCTATTTTAGTGCAGGCTAATATTTTTTTTAACGCTATTGCGTTAAAAAGCTCGTCTCGCGGAAATTCCGGCATCGGCGAGAACATCGTTGGTTGTGAGGGAAGAATCAGTATCTTGTGTGTGACCGAAAAAAAATTGAGAAAGATGCAAAAAGATAAGTAATAAAAATTTCCGTGTCCGAGTGAGGATTGCCTCCAGAACAGCCGTCGCTATTTCTTTGTATTCTTTAAATGTAAATTTGTCACTGTCTCATTCAAAAAATACCATGATAGACAGACTACTCACACGTTTAGAATTACCATTTATTACAATGTTTTATTTTCAGTTCACATTTCCAGCGTAATTTTTAGCTTCAGAGGTCTCTATATACTTTGAACATCTTTGCTTCATCCTCTCTTGTGGCTCTTATCTACTAACGGGGGATTGGCCAAGAAGCCGGCGGTTAACGTAAGTAAAGAATTTAGGATTATGCATGCTATAGGGAAATATGATTACTTTGTTTTAACAAGACGGCATTATTTTAGCGCAATGTGAAAAAAAGAGTGAAATAAGAAAAAATAATAAGATTTTTCGAATGCCTCAGATCCTGCCACCCGGTTTTTGGCCCGTCCCCTTTATGGTGAGTGCCGTGGCAACCAGGATGATTATTATGGTGATGATGATCCTGGTAATACTGGCTCACACACACAAAGAGGGATCGACCGAGAACCGGGCGGCAGAATCATAAAATTAAAAGCTTGTGGAAGAAGACACCACCACCATCCTCTTCTTTCGTAGCGGGCGCAAGCCATCGATGCGGAACAAGAACAAGAAGACACGGAACGCGCGCGCACGTCGCCATCGCTGCGCGGTGCCCGAGGGACAAGGCCAGGAAGGTGCGCAGCCGAGAGACTTAAGGAGGAACCTCGACGTCGCATTGTCCTGCAGGCCGCCATGCCGGGCAGCAGTCCCCGGGACAACGTCAAGCTGGCGGTGAACTGCTGCAACAGCCTGGGACTGGACGTGTACTGCCGGTACACGAACGCAAAGCCGCTGGAGAACATGTTCTTCTCGCCTTCGCCCTGGCCGCCGGACTGTCCATGACGCTGGCCGGAGCCAGGGACGCCACCGCCGAGGAGATCATGCGTCTCATGCACATCGACCGGGGCCTGTTCGAGACGCAGCGCGAGATGGTGGACCTTATCAAGCAGATGAGGAGCGAGGCCGGAGACGTGAGTACATCGTCGCCGTCAGCCTGACACGTCCGTCGCAGAACAAAGGCTTCTCCCATATGTCTCGCCAATCAACCCGCGGTCCTGCGCCTTCTGCCGCCACGTTATACCCGCAACCGTCTTATTCTCATGCGCCCACCAAAACTTTCCGCCTCGCGCTTGCCATCTCTAAGAATCTAGTGTATTACCGTATTTACTTGACGGTAAAGGCGACCATGACTGAAGCGCGAAGAGTGGCTTTTCGTAGTGTCATGGAAGAAAAGAGTAGTTATTTCAGCATTCGACTGTAACGTGAGGGTTCACAATAGGTCGCGAAAATCCTGAAGAAAATGTGATGACATTCAAGCAAATAAGGTATTGTTAATGAACAGCGGTTATTTCAGCGTCGAACTACACGCTCTGCCCACGAACCTCTCTTCTTGGTTTCCGCAAAGAGGCCCTTAACTAACGAACAACCCGACTGTGTGAGCACTCATACTCATGCATGGTGTGGTGATTTATTTCATCGGCAGCACGTTTGAAGGTCGACATATGCATTTCATTAAAAACCCCCCAACTACTGCGATCAGTAGTTTTATGCAGTACGCTGCAGTTTGTGATCAGTGGTACGTTGCTATAGATGATATGCATGTAGTCCACGGTGGACTCGACAGTTCAAGTTGTGGTTGACCCTAGCTGACCGTTTTACCCTGTGCTCCAGGCGGAGCCGGACCACAGGATCGGGAATTCACATCAGGAGGAGGTATGTGCAAGCCTGTTACGACGAAAGTCCACAAAACTATACTAACACTGACATGATATGTCAGCTTTATAACACAGCCAAATACACGGGAGGCGTTTGTCCTTCAGAGATTCTGGGTTCCAAAATGTACGCAAGCTTCAACTGGTCAGCGCCTAGTTTATGCGAGAAACGCTTAGAGTATCGGTGGCCCAAAAATAAAGGGGGGAGGGGGGGACAAAGATTGGCAGTGATGCAATTGGAGTGCTTACAGAGTTAGATACACTGTCATAAAAACAGGGACTTTATTGTTTCAAGCAAGTAAATTACATTGTAAACAAAAACTATGATCATCATCGGGGTTTCACGGTCTGCTGGGCCTCCCACTGGTCTTTGGTTGTTTTGGAAACAGTAGGTCGGTATAGGCATGCAACCGTCAGAGCCTTGAGCGTAGTATATACCTTCACAATAGGGTCCTCCCCCTATAAATTTTGTGGGGTTGATACTATAAAAGCGGGGAGAAGAATGCAAGTGTATAAGAGCTACGTGCGTTTTTAACTTCACACGTTTTCGACACACATATGCATTTCCTATCCAGTCGCCCATTGCCGACATCTATGGCACACATAGAAAACGGAAGCTATGGTGCCTGGGAGCGCTGCAACGAGGTTGCCTATCTTTGAGACCACAAAGCGACGTGTTCAGACCAGTGACGTGAATCATAGGGGGGTCTATACTCACCCGTAAAATAGTGTATATGCTGGGGTCTAGGCATATAACGAGTTACACTTCGAAACTCAAGGCCATGCTTTCTTGAAAAATCATTGAGAAGACCCTCATTCCTAACACAATTACAAACAAAAATATTTACGAAAAAACAAAATGGCAGCCATGACATCAAGATGTGTGTCCTCGGCTTGAAATTTTTCTGGATTGACGTCACGTGTTCAGACGACGTTCTGCATAACCGGCGTATACAGCGAAAGGCACGATTCTCGGGCATCGTGAACGCGCATTTCCTGCTGGTATAGGTTAGGTTCCTCAGGAGCGAGTTTCTGTGAGGGTCAAAGAGGTGAGTCAGAGCAGTATTAAGCGGTCTATCGAAAGCAGTGGGCCGTGAAGCGGAGCAACATCTCCATCACCGCCCACCGCATAATTACGAAGTATCAATTTAAAACAGCGACGCTATTTAGCAAATCGTTTCTTGCGAGTCGATCACGGAAAACTACCACCTTAACGTGTACGTACCACTGGTAACTTGTACGTGCCACATACAGGCGTGCGCAGCTGGGAAGTGTCCCCCCCCCCCCTCCTAGTCATCTAAGAGGAGTGGGGGTCAAGGTCTGCCCCATACATTGATGTGATGGGGGAGGGTGCAGTGAACCGAAAGCGCTAGGGCGGCGAGCCGAAGACACCAAGTACATGCAACGAGAGAATACGAAAGTTAAACGGCAGCTACCCCTACGACAACATGCACGTAGATTGCAAAAGCTTGGTTTCAGCGCGAGTTTCTGTCTTTAAAGTTTGGACATCCGTGTTAGTGACAACCTATAGGATCAACCAAGCACCTGCATCCCCTAGCTAAGGCTACATAGACACACTCTATAGAAACAACCAGATTAGTTTTCATAATCGTCCAGTTTCACTGTTCCAAGCCTCGCATAGCCTATAGTGCAAGCTTCTGCTTCTTCTTCATTAATCTTTTTTTTCTTCCGCCAGATGGAGCTCCGGCTGGCGACGGGCGCGTTTGTGCGCACGGGCTACCGGCCGACGGACGAGTACTGGGCGACGGTGCGACGCGTGTACGGCGGCACCGTGCACGAGGTGGACTTCGTCGAGGACTCCGAGATGGTGCGCCGACAGATAAACAGCTGGGTCAGAGAGCACACCGACCACCAGGTCAAGGAGGTGAGACTCCATCAACGACCCGTACGCCAGGTCATTACACATGGACGGTGTTGACGTAACAGGTGGCTCATACATGCACAGCCTTGACACAACGTCTGTCCAGTATTCATCTTAAAAATAGGCTCACACTGACTGATTCAGCGAACCAGCGTCGCCTTCCTCTTGTGCTTTTACTATATACCGTTATATCCAGTTTTTCGCTTTAACCGGAAGAATTTTTTTTACATATGGCGTACGTGCAACACATTCATTTTCAAAGCACTGTCGTACCTACGGCTTCTTCTGATTTTGACGATTGCTGGCAATATGTCTAGATCGACAATTTCACTGACTGATTAAAACGTGTCAATCTCCACGACGCACGTTGTACTTTCGTGATTAAGGCCAAGGGGTAATAAGGCGGCGTATACGTGTCAAAAATACAAGACTAGCATTTCTTTCCAAATGTATAAAAAAACGAGCCATATCAGCATGATTGTTCCCGGCTTACTAATGCAGTAGTATATCAACTTCATGGGGGCATGGGGGAGGCCTTTGTCCTGCAGTGGACGTAGTCAGGCTGACGATGATGACAATAATATCAACTTGAAAGACATGGCGCAAGGTTAAAAACGAGTAGAAGGGCTGAGACAGGAAACCTTGAGCCACGTCTTTCATATAGTTTAGCACTAACCAGCACGACCTAGCGTAACGTTGTAGCATAGTCACGTGGTGAATAACATAGCGTATTGCGGCTTATTCACGTGGTCCTTAAGACATTGTCTTCTGGCATGCGTTAACGCTGTCACTAACATAGCGCATTGTAGCATATTTCACCAACGTAGCACATTGTAGCATAGTCACGTGGTAACTGACACGGTTTATTGTGGCGCATATTCACGCGGTCGCTGCACCTGGCTCGCGCCCAGATCCTGACCCCCGGTGCGGTGACGTCGGCGACGCGGCTGTGCATCGTGAACGGGGTCCAGTTCCGGGGCGTGTGGACGGAGCCGTTCCACGAGACCGAGCTGCGGCGGCACGAGTTCCACGCGAGCAACGACGACGACGACGAAGGCAGCGAGGTCGAGGTCGAGATGGTGGCGCGCATCGACGAGTACGGATACATCGTCGACCGAGAGCTGTGCTTCACCGCCGTAGAGGTCATCCACAAGGCACGCGCGCCCCTTCTTTCGCCACACAAATCCCTTTCTACGGACAAGTTCCGTGGTAATCCATAACACTAACGCACACACACTGCAGACTATACCGAGGATGACACAGGACAAACGTTAATCAGAAACCTACTAGTCAAGTGTGAACTGCTTCCCTGAGTCACCATATATACCGATTAGCCCAGCTCAATGAATTCGCGTTATCACCTACACCCTTCAGAGCCAGTTTCCACCTACATCCTTCAAAATTGATAAAACCACATCGGTGGCTGTGCATGCCATTTTTACATCCACCAGAAAAGAACACAGGATAGAGCCGCATGGACTAATTAAATGCACGGGAAGGAGAGGTGCTGAGAGAAGGAAAACACACATTGCACTTCGACTGTTTGTACTTGTTACACTCTTAAAAAAAATGGAGTGACGTACTCTCCATTTAGGGAGGAACGGCGATGTCCCCAATGTTCGTCTTCAAATAGAGAAACGTTGCTCCCTCATCCACGGAGAAACACGTTTCTCCTTATGAAAAATCAACATGGCTGCCCCCCGGCGAAGCGAGTAGGCTTAGCAAATGCAACGATTCTCGACTGGTAAGGAGTACACGGCACTGAAAGTTACAAAAAATGGTCCCGCTGAGCTTGATATTGAACGAAATTGTTATAAAAACAAGCAGACGAACCTGTGGCGGTGAACACATCGCGAAAGAGAACGATGGAGCAAGTACGTTTCGTTCGGTCAGCGAAGCCACGTTCACTCCGAAAGACACGGTTTCTGCAGAGCCCTCACCTGAATAGTGCATGCTAGGCTTGCTGTATTTATTTCTCGCAGATTCACATAGTGTAGCGACGTTATCCATGCGCTTACGGGTCCGCAGGTCATGAGATGTGCCTCCAAACCGTACACTCGATCGTAGCGAAACCATTCCGAATCCGTAGTGCAGCTTTGATAGATAGATGTTCAACGATATATAAATGGCTGGAGGTGTGAGAGCGTCAAAGCAATGAAGTAGGTGGTAGGTGGCGCCATCTGGAGGGATTGATCAAAGTTAAAAAAAAAGTTGACTGCCGCGACGCTTGTTGTTATTACCCACTATCACGGCTCCCTTGCGGATATTTTACGCATCAACTCATTCAAGACCACTTACGGACACCGAAAGCCTATTATGTGCTGATGCAATCTATACAGCTACACATGCACACATGGTCACATGGTCCACAAATAGTACGCAACAAGTACACTAGCGTATACGCTAACAAGTACGCAACAAGAGCACAATCAACCATTCAAAACCAACGGCTCACGCCTCGACGTGTTTACTCACACTCTACCAAGAAGCGCGCCAGCTTATATAGCGATGAATTTCAACTGACCTGAGTGGCACAGGTTACAAGTAGGTTTTCTTACACTTTTTTCACGTTTTTTATCAATACCACAACATGCGCACACGTAAATATATTGTATCTGATGCTTAGGTAAACCTAAGTTAATCAATGGTTGCACAGTAATGAACGGAATAATTACTAGAGCTTATCAGGTTTTCACGAAGGCGGATGCCCCAAACCGTGCTTAGAATGCCCACGGCAATTCGAACGCTGCGCCATCTGTCGACCACTCCCACAGTTACTTTTTTTTTCTTGAAGCCTCTGAGAGTGCAAACACTTGCCACGCGTTAGCCATTTCGGAGGTCACGTTTTTTTTTTCTTCTTACTTGGAGAGGGCGCAGCATGCAGACCAAACTTTGTCTCCGTCGTGGTAGGTGTTCTGTGGTCACGTCGACCTCGTTTAGTTGTTTCGTCTTAACGTTTGCTTATATTCTTTTTACGTGCGTACTACAAGTGTGGCCGTTAGCCATGGATATAGTACACCACTAGCCCTTCAATGACAATGTTTTAATGCGGTGACGACCGTCCTAGCAGTGTATACGTACGTTACAACGCGGGTCTTGCGAGATAAATAAGCGATGACCTCGCATCCGACGGTATTTTTTTGTGAGCCATGACAGTGGCTGTTGGCGTCGCGGGAGCTCTCATACTTAAGTGGAGGAACTATCGCTGCAGTGCGCAAGTTTACTATAACTTTATAGAATGTTGTGCCTGCATACTTTTCTGCTTCAGATGCCTCTCGCGATTCGCCTCGCGTGTCAACTTGCAATCATAGTGCGTGCCACAATTTTGTTGTTATCGCTGTGGCTGTGGTGGTTATTACTCTGGATTCGGAATACTCTTTTCACAAAGGTGAGTGAGCGTTAGTACTTACTTGCTGTGCACAGTTGCTACTAGAAGTGCATTTTGTGTTGAGTTTCTCACGACAAAGGAGAATCATGGACGAGAAAGACATACTGCTCCCGTGCATAATTCCTTCCTACTTCTCAGTGCTGGCATGGGCAATTCAAAACGAATGCGGTTGAGAATTTGGTTTAACCTACAGAAGTAATTGGTTCACTTTTCACAAACGTTTAGTTATGATGATGTTTAAAAAGTTTCTGATGGTTTTAATCTAGTCTGGCGAATAAACGCTCGGTGAAACTTCGCAGCCTGTTTCCCTTTGCGCTTTCACCTGCCGGGGTAGCATAGCCTTATTGGGTGTCGTGTGACTATGCTGATGGACGCAGGTACGACTTCCGGCCACGGCGGCCGTATTCAAATGGGGGTAAACTGCAAAGAACATCCATATGGTGGTAGTGGCACGTATAACTCTATCAATTGTATATGATCGTACTTTCACGCATGGACTGTAGAGTGGTATCAGGTTTCCTACACTATTGAAAGAATAAGTGTGGTGCTTTTTTACGTGCCTCGTTGAATTCATGAGTGCTGTTGGTGCCGTGCGAAACTAAAAATGCGTGGGCTTACCAAGTATGTCGACACCGAAAAACATCATTATTTTTTTACACTCTAAGGTAATCGATAAAGCAAGACTGCTTGGGAAGCAGAGCTCCTTGTATTCGTGACAAATTGGTAGTATGAAACAACACGAGACACACATGGAAGTGTGCGGAGCATCGTGCGAGTGCCTGACGATAAAAAAAAGAGAGGCTTTTACTCTATACTAATAAAACAAAAGAAAACGTCATTCCTGCATTGCTTACAACAATCTTAGGTTAAAGCAATCGCTCGCGACTGGCCGCGGGCGGCTATAGGCTTGGCGTGCGCATGCGCGCGAGCAAGACCCCCGTGATTGAGGAGTAACTTGAACGCTGAAGGAGAAACGTTGCTCCTTTGGTCCTTGCCGCGAGAGGGCGCGACAGGTAAAGCGCCCGAAAGGGAGGAAGTCGCTGCGCCGAAGGAGGAACGGAGCCCGTTTCTCCATTCTCGCTCCCTTTTTTTTTAGAGTGTAAGGCGGGATGAGGGGTAAAGGGGGCAGGCGAAAATGTGCTGCGGGAGAAATTTGCGCCCCCCTCCCTCCTACTGGCGCCACCCGATTGGCGATCGAAACGACTACGTATGGCGCCACACGCGCAGGGCGACACGACCTCGCTGGTGATCGTGATGCCCCACCAGCGCCACGACTTCCACGCGCTGGAGAAGCGCCAGAACCTCGACAAGCTGCTGGAGCTGCCGCGACGCATGACGCGCACGCCGGACGTCGAGCTGTGCCTGCCCAGGCTCAAGCTGGACATGGGCATGCGCTTAGAGTCCATACTCTACTACATGGGCCTGTCCGACCTCTTCAGCGAGGTACGTTTCGAACGTGCGCTGATGCGGGTGTTTTATACTGCGAGAAGACTGAAGGTTGCTTGGGCTAGTCGGTGCTACATTAGACACTTATAGTATACCTGGCTTACCGGGCGTACCGTGATACCGGAATCGAAGTGCGCATGCGCAGATACGTACGGTATTCGTACCGCTTACCGTACGCGCGGTATTTTTCAGATTTATGGTTACCGTGGTAGCGAAAGTGTACGTAGCGTTCGTAAACATGGCGGCGCTCTCGGACGCCCGCTTCGAAGTAAGTTTGGCGTAGTTGTTAAAAGATTCACCTTGTTCGCAGGAAACGACGGTTTAAAATGGCTTCGCTTGCCTTCAGTTAGCTTCGATGAGCGAGTATTACAAATAAGGTTGTCGTAATTTGTGAGATAGCTTCCCATTTCGAACGCGTTTAGGCCTAACTACAAGATCAATGCCAACAAATCGGCAACATAATTTTTTTTACGTTTGGTGCGTGGTTCATATTTATTTGCTTTCATTAGTAGTAAAATAAACTTGTAACAATGCTTCGCGCGGTGGCATAGGCAAACATTCTCGTTTTCTTTTTCCTTTTCACTGTCTTTAACTTACTGACCATTCGATAGGTGGCGCCACCGTCACAGCTGGGGCACGTAAACGCTATCCCGCTAAACTATGATACGCTGTCCACAACGAACGTTTGCTGCACGGTAGCGCCATTCCCTTAACCTCCGCGATCGTGTTAAAAACTATAACTGTCTATTAAAGGCCTGACCCCACGTATCCGTCGCAGCGCGTGAGCGCAATGCTTTTTGACGCGCTGCCACACCCTCTCCCTACAAAGAGTGTGGGCGCTTGGCTGCACGAAGTCAGGCGCTCTCTCTCTCTCTCTATGGAAGAGGGCTCGACGCCGCGTCAAAAAGACGCGCGCCGACGCGCGGCGACGGATACGTGGGGTCAGGCCCTAGGGGCAAAAACAGCGCGCAGACGGACGGGACGAAGACACGGTTCCACGGAGAGTTTACGAATGAGAGTCAAGCGTAAGCCAATCATAGATATATTTGCATGAAAAAAAAAACAGTCAAATTAATAGTTTGCTTGACATGACTTGATCTTTTCTCGCGCCTGCGCAGTGAAGCGCGATTTTTTTAATATTTGTACCATTACGATCCCTCGCCAGATCCTCTGCGCATGTTCATTGTGTTTCGCGTAAGTGTTCAAATAATCTGTATATTGTCACGTTCCTTTCTTCAAGTTTTGTTATCGTTCCGTTGCACTATGTTCAGCGCAAACCGCACCTACGGTGTTAGAGAAGCTTCGAGGCTGCAGTAAATCGTTTCGTTGAGATTACGTCCACTAATTGTGAACCTTCAGATTATTCTGGAACCTACGTCACCACTGGCGATAACGCTAGAATGTTCGATGGCAAGTGTATATAAATCCCGACACGCTTCGCCGCTTGTCATTCGATCGACGGCCGACGCCCTGCTCACCACGATCACTGCCCGATTCTCTCTGTGATCTGACTGTGCATTTTCGGTGGAGGCGAAAATGCGGTATACCCGTGTGTTCAGATTCGGGCGCACGTTAAAGAACCCCAAATGGTCAAAATTTCCGGAGCTCTCCACTACGGCATCTCTCATAATCATATGGTGGTTTTGGGACGTTAAACCCCACATATAAAAAAATAAAAAAATAAATAAGTAAATCTTACTTTCTGTTTATGTGGCCACAAATTCGGCCCGAATAAACAGTTGATTATTCGATCTGCAGTCTGAAATCACAATAGGGAATCAGAAAAAAAATGGCAGCATATCCAAGGAGTGAATGATGGAGAGTGGGGCGAAGCATCCTTCCGTCCATGCGTCCGTCTGTGTGACCGTCCATGCGTCTGTTCGTGCGCCCGTCCCTGCGTTCGTTCATGCATCCGCCCCTGCGTCCGTTCATGCGTCCAACCATGCATCTGTCTGTGTGTCCGTTCGTCCATCTATTCAGCACTCCAAGCACCATCTCGCATCTTTTCATCATATATTCCCCATATATAAGCACCGCCATTCAGTGGACATTCCAAGGACTAAACGAGAGGTGGCACACGCACACTTTTTTACGGCTTGCGCTTCGGGTCTACTTCCCACCTTCAACCACCTTGAGTTCATGGTATATACTAGTTCACTGTATTCATGGCACTGCGGCCCAATGCTCGCTAAACCTTTCTAAAACCAAGGAGGTTACGCCCAGCGAGTATAACGTAGCAACATTTTCCTGTCAGATAGTGCTCAATGTACATGCCAGTGGCTGCTAATGTGAAATGAAAGACAGCAGGATTCAGCTTTTAATTTCTTACGGCTTGCGCTTCGTATCCGCTTCCCCCCTTTAACCACCTCGAATTTATTCATGGTATATACTAGTTCATTGTATTCATGGCCCTGCGGCTCAACGCTCGCTAAACCTTTCTAAAACTAAGGAGGTTACACCCAGCGAGTATAATGTAGCAACCCTTTCTTGTCCGATAGTGCTCAATGTACATGCCAATGGCTGCTAATGGGGATCGCAGCGTGCGCGTTGACTAAAAGCCGAATGCTACTGTCTCTCATTCCTTATTAGCAGCCATTGGCATGTACATTGAGCACTATTTTTTGTTGTTAAACAACGCACAGAAGAAATCTCTCACCGGCACCACCTTGGAGGTCAAATGTTACACCTATTTTGGGTATGTGCCACTGGTGGTTACGTACTACGAGAAACGCACAAGCCACGCCACAAGGAGCTTCGCCCCTAATAAGAAACATTTTTATTTCAGCATCAGGCTCAGAAAGAACACAGGTGTTGAGGGTCGTGAGCTAAAATCCACAAAGCGGCGTGACGAGGCCCACGGTCTCTAGTACTCGGCGCTAACAGAAAAGAAGAACACGGAGCAGCAAGAATATACTACGCATCGTCCTCCCACTAGAAGTTATTTTCACATACATAAATATACATGTTACCTATAAACGCAGCTTAACCTATACGGTGCAACGTTATTTGAAAAATATATATACATGGAGTTTTAGAATACCGTTTGCGTCGAATACTACGGCGTCGCTCATAATCGTGCTGCTGTTTGGGACGTGAAACCCCAACAATTGTTATCACGCATACTTATTGAAATATCCCATTTACCTCCCAATGCAGGCTGTAGCATCGCGTTATTTGCCGGCAAAAGGAACTATACCGTTTAGCTGCGGTTTCGAATATAGAAGCGGCCCCGCCGCGGTGGCTAAGGTACTCGGCTGCTGGGCCGCAGGTCGCGGGTTCGAATCCCGGCTGCGGCGGCTGCATTTCCGATGGAGGCGGAAATGTCGAGGCCCGTGTGCTCAGATTTGGGTGCACACTAAACAACCCCAGGTGGTCGAAATTTCCGGAGCCCTCCACTACGGCGTCTCTCAAAATCATATGGTGGTTTTGGGACGTTAAACCCCACAAATCAATCAATCGAATATAGAAGCGGCCGGCACACGCGCCCACACGTGCCGCCGCGCATGCCCACTTGTTTACCGTTCCCGGGCCGAGCCCAAATATTAGGGAGCTTTTAGAATAGCGCACCGCGAGCCCTCGCGGTGCGGTCGCTGCTACTGCGCATGCGTCGTAACGCGAGTCGGCGGCCCGCCCGCAGAAGAGCCGAAATAGCGGGCGGCGTGTGCAGCCCGCAAACGCAGGTTTCGAGGCTATACGGTGTCGCTGCGATCGTTCGTTCCGGTTTGCAGGAGGGCAAACGCTATTCCACGCGCTATTCTAAAACTCATATGGCGCCCGCTATGCCCGCAACGTCCGCAGCGCCTGCAAACGTTATGCTGAAACTTCCCATTGGCGAAGCGTTCGTGACTTTCGCGATCTTTTCGGCTGCCACGAGGGCAATAACGCCTGAGCACCATGATTGATTGATTGATTGATTGATTGATTTGTGGGGTTTAACGTCCCAAAACCACGATATGATTATGAGAGACGCCGTAGTGGATGGCTCCGGAAATTTCGACCACCTGGGTTTCCTTAACGTGCACCCAAATCTTAGTACACGGGCCTACAACATTTCCGCCTCCATCGGAAACGCAGCCGCCGCAGCCGGGATTTGATGCCGCGCCCTGCAAGTAAGCAGCCGAGTACCTTAGCCACTAGACCACCGCGGCGGGGCAACGCCGGAGCACCAATTCAAGCGGCAAAAGGCCATTCCGTGGCGTTACGTCGTACACGGTTTCGGAATCACCCGCTTTTAACCTTTTCTCTACTTCTATTTACTTGTCTATCCGACAGCCCGCCGACCTGCGGGTCCCGATTGTTGCATAGAGTAAGAAGACCCTATATAGAACATGCAGTGCGTGACCGAAAAAAAAAAATTGGGGAGGGGGGCTTGACTCGTGGACGACGCATCACGCATGCATGAGCATGCATGCCGCCTTCTCCTCCCGTACACAGCCTCAAGGGTAAACGATGCCAAGCACGCGACATATGAGAGCGTGGACCAGTGGGGTACATGTGCACGCGACCACTGTCGAGTGAAGCAGCTGTCACGTTGGAGCTCTATAATAATAATAATAATAATAATAATAATAATAATAATAATAATAATAATAATAATAATAATAATAATAATAATAATAATCACACGGTTCCTTAATAATTACCCTACGACGATTCGACAGGGAAAGACGTATTTCTTATGGGTCGATTGTCTTGAGGTGAAGCATTCAAAACTTGCACGTTGCGGCGTCGTACGCGATAAAAAAAACCAAAAATAGATAAATCCGGCACCCACGAGCATAAAAATGGGCGGCCTTGCCCGCCTTGGCGCCGTTATGGTGTTCCGAAGGTCGCGCGCCCGATCCGGGCCGTGGCTGATCGCATTTCCATCGAGGCGAAATCGTATAGAGGCCCGTGCATGTATACTGTGCGTTGCCAGTGTCCGTTAAAGAACGCTGGCTGGTCGGAATGTGTCTATAGAGAAAAGTGGTTAACGATTCAGGGTACTTTGTACTCTACTATGGGAGAGCTTAAAGCCGTCCCATGCACCTCATACTCGATGAGGCCCAAACACTCAACTCGACTGACTCTCCGGATCACTCCAGGGTGCCCTGATGATAACGCCGTGGTTTTGGGACGTTTTGGGACTCGGTGGCTTGCTCCGGGCCGTGAACGTAAAGCCTATCCGGCGAGTAGTTTACGTTACGTAAAGGTTCACGTTCCATAAATACTCGCGCATGCGCAGATTCTATCCGGTATCCGGTAACACAGTAACGTAAAGAAGTATACGTACAAACTAAAACTCCCTATTGTTAGGTGCGGCCTCCGAAAGTGCACCGGTCAATTGCGTATTGTTAACTCGTTTTACAATAATCCACGCTCTCTCTCAATCGCGGGCTTGTCGGCGATCAGTAGTTTCTGATATGGCAAACCGTTTCTTTCATCGAGGTGAATCGTCATCTCACGTTGCCACGTTTCATTGTTGCCTGGATACGAACCCACGAGCGACGGTCGTTGTTGCCTGTAGCAGCCGAAGTGTTCGCTGCTAAGCAACGATGAAGGCGCAATTCGCAGTATGGAGCAAGCAAGCGTGGGCGTCGCCGGGATATTGTCTTGGGGGTGCGTACCGGGATTGCATCGCGGCTTGAATTAGGGTTGGAGGGACAATGAGGTCAAGTAGCCCTTTTGCAGCCCCCGTGCCCGCAGGAGGAAGCATTGCGCGATGCAGTAGAAAGTAGTGCGCAGAGCACGCCGACACAACGCTTAACGTCCCAAAACCAATGGATAATTATGAGACACTTCTTAGTGGTGGGCTCCGGACCACCTGGGGTTCTTTGACGTGCACTGATAGCGCGCAGTACACGGGCCCATACCATTTCGTCTCCACGAAAACGCAACCGCCACGGCCGGCATCAAACCCGCGACCTGCGGGTCAGCAGCCGTGCAGCCTATGGCCGCTACACCGCCGCGGCGGAGCAGACACAGAACTTCGCTCGTCCCTATTTTTCGCGAAAGACCAGAACTCTTATAATTTCCTGTTTTTCTGTTAAATGATGTCACGCGTGTTTCTACGATTGATCGATATGCACTGCATGGTGATTGGCAGCGTGCCAACCTGTCGGGCATGTTCGGCCACGGGGTGAACATGTACGCCACGGAGTGGATCCACCACGCGGTGGCCGACATGGTCAACGACCCGAGAAACCCGCGGCGCTACTCCTTCTGCGCCACGGGCGACTCCACGCCGCCCGACGTTGCCGGCCGCTCGAACGAGGAAGAGCTCAGTCCGCCGCCAGGTGCGCACATTTTAAGCTGCACGTCAAAGAACTCCAGGTGGTCAAAACGTCCAAAGCCCTCCACTATACGGCGTGTCAGCTAATCACATGCTGGTTCAGGGGCGTCAAACCCCAAATATGATTATTACTTTGGACTATATACTTGGTGGATGTTCGTAGTTCTCCGTTGCGCACCTGCTAATTAATAACTGTATTCCTACTTGCTGGGCTGCTGACCCGAACGTCGCTGTTTCGATCCCAGTCATGGCGGTCGCACTTCGATAAAACCGAAATGGTTTACAATCTTGGTATTGCACTAGTTGGTACAACATTTCTCAAAGTTAATTCGAGCGCGAACACGACACAATCACTCACCCACACGCACGCACACACACACACACACACCCAAACATCAAACACACACAGCGCTCACTTCCAACTGATTTATTCATCTCGAAGGCTTGCATATATACATAGGACACATGTGCGCACTAACACCATAGAAGGCCAACGGCATACGTTATCAATACCTACAGTTAATCAATTGCAGAGCCGATAAACTGGAATTCGCTTGGTAACAATGACATCGACCTTCGCTATAATTGTTTACAAGCGAATGCCAGTTTATGGGCTCTGAAATTGATTAACTCTATGTTGATAACGTATGCTGTTGGCCTTCTATGGTGTTAGTGCACACATGTGTCCTATGTATATATTCAATCAAGCCTTCGAGCTTTGAATAAATCAGTTGGAACAGAGCGCTGTGTGTGTTTGATGCCTGGGTGTGTGAGTGTGTGGGAGAGTGATTGTGTCGTGTGTTCGCGCTCGAATCAACTTTGAGAAATGGTTCACGCCCGTGAACTGTAAAATGACGTTAAAAAACTGTAAATGACGTAAATGATCTCATAATCATATCGTGGTTTTTGGGTACGTAAAGCCCCAGATACTACTAACTTTAGCTATTTCAACTGCGGGGCTGCAGCTTAAGGGCACTTCACCGATGATCGCTTCCCAACCGATATCATGCAGCCTCGGCGATGGCCCGCCCCCGCAGCGTCGACGAGTCGCCCGAGCCACTGCGCCGCCGGGGCAGCGGCAGCGCCACCCCGCCCAGCTGCGCCGCGCAGCCCAAGAGCAGCTGCCTCAAGAAGGAAGGCAAGAAGAGCAAAGCGCACAGATCCAGCATGGTGCGCACGACCATCCCGTTCGTGGTGAACAGGCCGTTCATCTTCTACGTGCTCCACCGTGAACTGTCGCTGCTCCTCTTCATGGGCGTCGTCAAGAGGATCGCCTGAGCGCACGGACGCGCCCACGCTGTGCGCGGGCGCGCCCACACTGCGCAAAGTGTTTGCTCCCTTTCCATACGGCCGGCGCCAATCCCAAAGACCACGTCCCGTAATACCTATCACTAGCATGCATTGCATAGCGCCTCGTTAGTCTGCGTAGAACGTGCCGCGCTTTCGAGTTCGCCATGTCCACCACCTTTCCTTGTTAGGTTTTAAATTTTTTTTGTTCGGTTCGGTAGGATACTGATGAGAGCGCGTACAACGAACCAGTGCCCGTATATCGCGCGTTTACAGCGACCATATTCGCGGTCGACTTGGCTTAGCCTATATGCGTTTATTTTCTACTAAGCGAAATAGCCCTTTTTTATTGCCCGAATAAAATCCTGCTTTGTGTCGACGTGTCTCGCACTTATCATTCTCCTCGTACTCCTCCTCATCGCTAGCTGAAGGCGACGCCTACTGTGTTTTTTCCTTAAAGTTTTCTTTCTTTCTCTCTCTCTATTTCTCTCTCTACCGAAGCGGAGAGAGGCAGGTAGGATAAACGATAGACAGGCAGGTTAACCAGGACTGAGGCCGGTTGGCTATCCTACACTGGGGATGGGCGAGTTAACCTTGAACAGAAAAAAATAAGTGAAACGGCGGTTAACATATGTGACCTTCATCAAATTTTTGGGACCGCAACCGCTATAGGTATTCTGCAGTCTGCGGTATGACTGTTAGTGAGAGGTTTGCATCACAAACAAACGTCGCAGTGTATACCGTGAATATGCACAATATTAAAATAAACTCGGACATCAATGTATAGATACACTCGTACTATGCCCTATTCCTATGACCGCTGCTTTGTAAGGATCCTAAAAATTGGTTAATAACGTAAGAATTTTGGGTGATTGACGGTAAATATTTACCGTCGTAGTTGCTAAAATTATGCTTATAAAACACCCAAGAAAATATAATTACGTAAATATAAGAAAAACATCTGGCCGGACGGTCCAGGACTGGACGGGTGGCAAGCCATTTCCAGTGTCGGTGGCCCCGAGTTGAATATTGGCCAAACTGCGACGCTCCATGTTGAGCAAAGCGCAGAGACACAGTTGCACGATAGGCGTCAAATCAAGACGACGCGAGAAGTATAGGGGGCGCGAAAAGCGGTGCGCTCTCCGTTTAAGGGCCAAACCTCATGCATAAGCGTGAAAATGCACGCGACGGCGACGAGCGACGCTATGAGCGACGAAACGGGGCGTTCGCGCGACGTGTCGCGTGCTCGTTTTCGCGCGATCGCTCGGTTTTCCAGATTTGGAAACCGTCGCTCATCGCCCGGAAGTGCCGGGCTCAAGCAGCCAATAGCGAAAAACCGGAAAAGACAAAGACTACTTAGGTGCACGTGACCCTGCCCGAGTCACGTATGCGCAACAAGAAATAACGCAATGTTTATTACGCATGTGCATATAAAAAAGTGCTGCAAGGCAATAATAAACATTTTCCGTTTCATTAAACAACAATATATCTTATTTTTAAATTGCATACCGCTCGCTACGCGGTTTTCTTGGTGCGAGTAGACGGCCTCATGCCAGCAACAGTGGAATTCGCCCGCCGAAGCCGTCGCGTGAATGAGGTTTGCCTGCGCTAGCAACTGATCGCGCGAAGCCGATCTACGTCGCGTCGCTTGTCGCTGTCGCGTCGCTTGTCGCTGTCGCGTGCATTTTCGCGCTTATGAGGTTTGGCCTTAACAAACGGCAAGCGACTAGGTTAGGCGAGCGTCGGGACGAAAGTGAAACGATAGAAAGAAAAAAAAATACATAGCATGCAATAAAGGACGCGAAAAAAAAATAAAGTAGAACAAAAGAGATCGAAAGAAATATGACTCATAGTCGAACAATACGAACTAGAAAGAAAGAAAGAAAGAGAAGGCAAGAAAGACCCACTCATAAAGGGGGAGGATTGAAACGACGACGGCGCAGCCGACCTGACACGCGCGCCATCGCTGCAGAACGAAGACGCCGTCGCAAGGAAGACGCCGCCACCACCCTGGCATCGCGACCGTTGCGCAACTGGTGGCGGCTTCGCGCGGCGCACGCGATCTTTTACGTAAGGCTAGGATCGTCGTCGCCAGAGCTCATTACCGTCCCCCTCCCCCCCCACCCCTTCGTTCTCGCTAGGTCGCGAGGACGAACACAGTTGCGTCGCAGTTCGCGAAGCGCTTGCGAAACAAACCACCACCTCTCGTCGCATTATGAGCTAGGCAGCGAACGGCCGCCAGTTGGGCGTGCTGGTACACGCTCATGACGGTGAAGAGCGACAACAAACGAAGGCCTATAGATATATCAGCGCGAAATACGAAAACAAAGATTCGAGAAGGAAGCGGGGGAAAGCAGAAAGAAAGGTCGGGCGCTAAACTTGAGCCGTTCATTCGAAAGGTGAAGGTCAGGAGAATACAACTAGCTGTTCGCGTATGCATGCGTTAGTATCGGCAAAAACGTAATCACACTGACCTATCAAAAATGCTGCGTCTTGTATCGGAAAAGACGGGCAGAAGAACCACTGACACATCTCTTAATGTGAAAGAATCCAAATCGCCGCGTGGTTACGCTAGCTTGACGTCATCTAAGCCGCCATGTTGGAGCCGTGTTTTGCGTCTTTGACGTCACGTTCAAGCTATCCATAGGTAACTCTTCTTCAGCTTCCCATAGCTGAGGTTTGACACTCAGATTAATTGATTGATTGATTGCTTTTATTTGCTTCGTCACAGTACAGTGTAACAGGAGGCGGAGGGAAAAGCCGTAATGACGGCTTGAGGGATCCTCCGCCCCCTTTGTGAACAATGGCAGCAGATGAAGGACATCACAATATCATACACTTTCACATTGTTTTACGTAAAGATCATGCCACAAAGGAAGGAAACCTGAAAACGTAGTTGATACATAGCTTACACAACAAAGAAACTTGCAGCAATCTTCTGCACCTGAATAAATACATAGTTTATAGAACATATAACATAGTTTGCTACATAGTTTATAGAACAAAAAGAGCCGCTAATTCTGCGACACTTAAATGAGACACATCTATACCTTTGCTAATATAAGTATTCAGAATTCGCGGTAGAGTACATCGAAGCATCTGAAAACCATAATTAGTGCGAAAGTACGGAACGTTCCACATTTCTGTATTTCTTGTTACATACGCCTTTTCCTTTAAGCAAAGATTCGCCATTTCCGTAAACAAAAAGTTTGCGCGTTTGCAGCTAAGGCAGTACTCTCGTAGTAGTCTGTATTGATATAGGTCATTCACTTTGATTATCTTATATTTTTTAAACAGTGGGTCACTAGGTGCTAGAGCTGTAGCGTTGTCTATCAGCCTCAGTATTTTCTTCTGTATTCTCAGTAATTTTGTTAAGTTTGTTTCTGTAGTTGTTCCCCAAACCAAATAGCAATAGTTAAGATAAGAACTAAACAACGATTTGTATATCAATAACTTTACCGAATTGGGGATGAGGTACCGGATACGGCTGAGTATTCCAGTTATCCGGCCTAATTTTATTTGAATATTATTTACGTGGTCATCCCATTGCAAAGAACTGGAGAAATGTACCCCAAGTACTTTCACTGACTTTTCGTTACTTTTTTTTCCGTTCTCGATCAATACTTTATTTAAAGGGATACTACGAGCTATAATGTGGTCACGGGTAACACCAAAATGAATGAGTAATTATCATGAAGTGAATCGCTCGATATAATTAATTACATTAATAAATTAATAGCCCACAAAAGTGATTCGTTACATTACCCCTCACAGCAAAACAAAAAAAAATATTACTCTTAATTCATTACTGTTAGGTCAGGTATAACCGATGACATTTAGCTGAATCTGGCAAAAACATGGCAGGTGTCACCATACGGATGTCGCACGTACAGATGTGTGTTGATGCACTCATTTTGCGTGCTGCAGCTCTGAGCACGTCCAACAGTAATCGAATTGATGATTGTTCGTTAGGCGGGGTTATTTGCGGCCAAAGCATGTCATTAAGCGAATTCCATATATTGTTCAAATAAAATACAGCTGCACGTCCGCGGATCTGTACAAAGCGCTTCACCGTGATTCGTGAGTGGGACTTACTTCGGACATCTTGACCATCTTGTGATCCACCACCTTGGGCTTTTTAACATTTGCCTAAACGAACAGTGTTATAGGGTAGACTCGTGCGCATAAAGACGACTCGGTGTTCTGTGTTCCATGGCCTTATTGACTTAGTTCGCAATATACAAAAAGAGAAATAAAACATCCGCTTAACAGCCCAAGACGGCGCGGCCCAGATAGGTGAAATAAGTCCACTGACCACAGCGGCGGGAGCAGCCCAATCACCAAACCATCTGCGGAAGGAATCACTCCGCGCGTACAGTGCATGCATGCCGAAATACCGTTGAGAACACGTACAGATCGCCTGCTACACGATAAAGGTGCGTGCCAAGGCAGAGCACGGTTCGATAATCGAGAACGGCATCCGTGCCGCACATTCCGAAGTCACGCAGATAAAAAAAAAAAAACAGCTGCACTATAGCTGACACACATCACCGGCGCAGTCAGGCGGCCAATTTCGAAATCACAATACGCATTGCTCTTATTATTCGCTGAATGATTATTTCCATTTTCTTACTACATACGCGGTTCCTATGTATGGCCTTTTTTTTTTTTAATTTTCGGGGCAGTGTACATGTACTATACAGAGTTGTCGAATCATTTCCCTAACGTTGGTTTTGCAACAGACCACATTTTCTTTCCCCAGCGGTGCTGTTATATGCACTCATTCCCAGCGAATCGCTCTGTGCGTGGACTATAGCGCGCAGGCTGAAAACAACCGCGCGGTCCTGTCACAGGGCGCAACTTTAGACGACAAGAGAGGCCCCCAGATGATCGAAGCGCAGCAGTCAATTCGCTTCACGACTAGAGAAATAGTCCCTCTCAAAAAAATATTGACTGGTTCTAAAGCACGTATTCCGATAAGCAACGTCCCT